AGTCACCAGTGTTTGAATTCCAAAATAAATGCGCTAGTCATCACATCCGCGTCTGCGTCGTCCCGTGATAACAAGGATGACGTAGTCATTCCCTGCTGATCGTCGCTCAACCGGTTTTGAGCACGTGGTTGTATCTGTGGGCATAAGCTATTTACAATTACTTATTTATTGCTGCTCGAGTTATATGTAACATCAGAACTTGATCTGCCTCAAACATCCTCGGCTTTATTAACTTGTCAGCACATCACTTAGCTGTTACAGTTGAGTAGATTTCCTGCTTAATATAGTGTAGTGTCCCTGCAGACGCGACAACGCTGGGGCGTCAATAATTGCCTGACGAGTTCCCGAGCTAGGTTTTCCAGTGTTTTCTTTGCTTATTCTATGCTTTTTAGGTGATTCGTTGCTGATAAAGAATAAAAGGGTAAGTTAAAGAGTAGATTCTGTTTTCTGAGAAGTTCTATCATCGCATATTCGAATCCACGTGGAAGCAGTTGCTTCTTGTCTATTTTTTTGTCACTTCATGTCTCTTTCTTCTTGTGAGGTACTTCTTTGAACGCTAATGGGTTTTTACGATTGACTTATTGTCTTTATCGCGTGAAGTACTTGACTAAAATGCTAATTCTCATGGATGAAATCCGAAGTTGCTGCAAGATAAGCCAACTAGCGTTCAAAGAAACGCCTCACAAGACGGAGGAAGTTTGAAAGAAGAAGTGACAGAAGAAAAGGAAATGACAAAAAAAATAGACAGGAAGCTGACGCGAAATGCTTCCACGTGGATATATGTGAAAATGCAATGGTAGAACTTCTAGAAAACAGAAACTACTCTTCAACTTACCCTTTTCCTCTTTATCAGCAACGAACCAACTAGAAAGCACGAAATAAGCAAAGAAAACACTGGAAAACACTGGCTCGGGAATTCGCAAGGCATTTATTGACGCCCCAGCGTTGTCGCGTCTGCAGGGACACTATATTAAGCAGGAAATCTACTCGACTGTAGTCATGTGTTTTTTAATGGCAACCAAACATTCCGACGTCATCAAATGACCATCAAATGTCATATAGCCGAACGCTTCGGCGCTCGCTTAAGATAGTGCCTAGACAAATTTTTAGCTTTGAACAATTCATAATCATAGGCCCGTAGTAAAGCTCGATCAGTTCAGGTTAACTGGACTTAACCCATCAGTTGAGCTCACGTCAGGTGAACTGATGACTGCCTACTTTCCCATGCTATAAACATGCCAAGTGAACTGACAGTTGGCCATCCGTCCACCTGCTGCAGTCAACTGTTGCACATAGTTCACGTTCAGATGAGCTTAACGTGAACTGATGTTAGAGGAATGCAAATAATGTGGAAAAAAGGAGACGCAGAGAAGACTCCCGTAAGTTGCTCCTGAGTAACTTATGATACACACCAATTTGCCTAACACTGCAGACAAAATCGGCGCAAAACTGCGCAATACCGGGACTTAAAAAGGAGAGTAATGTACAGCTGATTTTGGCGTGGAAAGGAAGAAAACAGATTCTTTTCTTTCTTGTAAAGTTTGCTGACTTCTTTTTCGAAAAGCTGCTCAAGACTAGAATTTATCGATTTAATGATTTATTGATTTATTTATTGATTTGATTGTCCACCTCCCATGTGGCGCACCTCCCAGCTGTGGTGAGCCCAGGACAGTATTGCAGAGCTCTAGAAGGTGGCTTTTTCTATTGTCATCCTCAGAAAGAATGAGTGAGTATGGACTCACCTCGTCCAATCTGGAGAAGGAGTCGCCATTCTGATGGCCCGAGAAAGCTAAGAATAACTCTTTCGGAGTCATGCAGCGCAATTGTAGAGTCAACTCCCAGAAAATCATTGGGTAATAGAAGTCTCCAAGTCAAGAATGTGAAGAGCACTGCCCTTATGGCTTTTCTCAATTCAAGTCCATTCTGGCATTATTGAGCTACCAATAAAAGTACTTTTATCGTCAGCGTGTTAGCTACCTTCCTCCCTAAACAACACTGAACCTTCGATGCACATTGTTAGTCGGGCCTTGATCACACTAGAATCTCATGTCTTTTTCAAAATAGTTCGCAGAGATCCTTTTCCACGAGGGGATCGCCAGCCGGGTCACTAAGTTACAAAAATGTGTTGTTCATCAGGAAGCAATACTAAACTTACTTTGCCTATTCTTTGTGGATTTCTTAGGCGTTGAGGCATCGGCACCGGAAATACTCGAATGCGGATGGACGCGACAGATACTGCCTGAATGAGATCGTTATTGTAACAAAACAACTTCATTTCCACTTGAAATTGAGCATGACGCCGCAATTTTGTGTTGCGGCACGGTCAGTGCGAGGTTGTAACCCGACCACAGTTATGACCGTGCGAGGGTTGCAACCTGCACATTCAACGTGAAATCCCTCGGTGGGCGGGCAGGTCGCCGCCGGCCGTAAAGGGGTGTCCTGGTCGCCACTTCTGAAGCGGTTTTCTCGGTTCACAAGTAACGTGGAGCGATGCCACTTGGGCAGGACCTTCATTGGGGTATGAGCTGTAGCAATCTGTGATTTTCTTGAAATCGTCAGACCCGCCCGGAAGCTGCCTTTAATGCATGCGGCCCCAAGAAATGATCAACACTTACACGCTCAAAGATCACAAAGCCTGGAATCACCTTGCGCCCCACACAAAGGGCTCATTCAAAACAAACTCTCATTACGACACCAAACTTTGTGTGTGTACCCTCGATGAAGGGTTGATACAGAAAATTATGAATGATAATATGTACGAAAAGTATCCAACTTCTTGTAAAATCGCTAGCGCAAGGAAAAAAACAGGAAGCGAGGAAAGGTACTCGTAGTTCGCCTTTTTCCGTACTATAAATCGCAATTTTTTGCGTGCATCTGTTTGTTGGTGCTTTTGCTTTTGCTGCTCATTGTTTTGAAGCCATATCTCCCCAGTTCATAAGCAACGTCGCAATTCTTTGCAAAGTCAGGGTCATGACCTTCGTTTTCAATACTAGTGCCATCGGATGCCGAGTCCGCTTCCTTCGGATTCTTTGCTTGGAGTGATTGCAGCCGCATATTTTATAAAACACCAGTATCATAAGCTATTTCATTCCGTGGTCCTCAGCGATTTGGCGATGCACTAGTTGTACAAATCCATTACGCGCAAATTCTAAAAACATAGGAGCATAGCTGTGGCTGATGCAAACATGCCAAATCTCGTTTACACGGTGCGTAAACACGAACAATGTGAAATCGCGAGCAATGTGAAATCGCGCCGACCGAAATCGCGCGAGGTATGACCATTGCCTTAGGAATCTGTCTCAATTTGCTCAGACAACGGCTCCAAGCAATTAGATAATCTCTCATTCATTTATATTTGGCATAATTTTGAAGGTTTCTGCTACAGTTTCTGTAATACTAGATCATCATGGGATTCAAATGAGAAGGTTGACTCACATAATGTTCCACTCGAGATCGTCGTGGCAGCCAGTGGCCAATTTCTTCGTTGTTCTCTTCTCTCCTTCTTTTTTTTAAGTAACAGCGCTTTTAAGAAATACCCATTCATAACAGGCACTGACGGTTTCCCTCTTCAAATATTCGAGATGAATAACTTAAATAAGGATACTGACTTCAATAGTACGTCTAGTGTTGAGTTTGATTCTGGCATGTGAGAAACTGCTTTTCCCTAACAATCTTTGGATCAGTGAAAGCAGATAATCTCTTGTTTGAAACTCAAAAATTGCTTCATTATGCCATCAAGTGCGTTCTGGTCTAGTTTACCCGTATATGTCTATTAGACATTACATATTGCAAACGCACTAAACATCACCCGCTTCTTTGGAACTTGAGTGAAGGCCAAATGATCGCAGTTCATTCGTCAGTTTCGAAGATTCACCACTCCTTTGTAAGTTCTTATTGGTTTGAACAGCGTACTATCATCGTATCATATTCGCATGATGTTGCTTCCAAAAAAGATGATAAAGATTTTGCTGATAAATGTAAATGATTGTAGAAATGATGCACAACAAAATCTATTCTTGTAGCTGTTAGCTATGTATTCGAACATCTTTCTATACATTCTTATCAGCCATTATTCAGTTACCTAACGTTATATGGGTATATTGAGCGGCACGATAGCCATGCTTGTGATGGCCTTAGTACATAACATTCATAGATATTCCTATTTCACTGACAAGTACTCAGTTTCTTTGCCTGAGATTATCGTTTCCGGACAGTTCTATAAACTTTACAAAGAGAAATCTTTGCGGCGACATGGCTGCCTGGACCGGAGTCGTTTTTAACTTGCTTTGATTGGACTACTGTAAAAAGCGTACCTTGGAGCGGCGCCAAGCATCGCGTGATATCCGTATCTCTAAGACCATTCGTTTTCATCATTATCACCATGTCGATAAGATTTCATCAGCCATGATGCAACGGAAAGACATATAAAAGATCAGTGTGGGAGGACAGTCGCACTAACCGTGTTTTATCAAATTGACCCTGTCTGATGTAAGTGATGATGTAAGTGGTAGATTTTGCAGACAGTGCTTTTGCAAAACTACTCCTTTCCCTGGTGTCAGCGCTCTAAGGAGCAAGCAAAACCTTCTCAAAAAGACGCTTTGATAAATTGTCGAGAGAAATGTCCGATATATGATGACTTTTCTAAAAATAGCCCGTACCGGTCTGAGCGCCGACGTTCTTCGAAAGTCGGACCGTATATAAGAATTTCTCCCTCGTATCTGCATCTTCTACCATTTTGCTGAAATCGCAGTATGTGTTTGTTTTGATTACTTCATCTGTTGATTTCAAATTCACGTCGTTGCTGGGTGTTGCACCTGAGGTGCTGCATCTGATTGACCTTCTATGCCGATCTCAGCTGTTCATGACGCTATGAGCGCACAAAGACCAAAACAGGTTACGTAAATAGACAAAGCAGAGAGATTTTTGGACATTGTTGCTTCTGCTATAACGTATTCGTCATTCTCTAGAAATGCCCAACCTTCAGCTTACGTGAACAATTTTTTTTCAGCAATGATCATGCTCAAAGAACCTCTCATCAAAGAAAGGGAAGAAGCATTTGAGTTGACACAGAATAACTCGGACTTGCTATTCATTCATGCTGCTCTCTGTTCAACTGCTTATGGGTTACAAGCACAGCTCTTTGCTTATCCGTTCAACTCGCCAAAGTACTGGTTTTTACTACAAACCCAGAAGAACACGCCGTATGTCCTAGTCATTTTTTCCATCTCTTTTGTACTGTTTGCGACACTTCATCCAGTATAATTAATTCAGTCCACTCGTGACGGTCGCTCAAGATGGTGATTTCTTCGACAAAAACATATTTCTAACTGCTTTGAGACTATTTTTCGAGAAAACCAGCATCTTGAGAATAGAACACAAGCTGGAATGTCTTGCCGAGGCCCATCTCATGCATGAGGTCAGCACTTTGAGATGAAAGGAAACATTATGTCTCGTGGAGTAGTTGCTATGCAGCCAATACCGTACCCTATAGATGAGGTTCCTGTAAATTCCACAAGTACTGAATTTCAGAAGTTTTGTTTTGAAGCAACCTCTTACTAATGTGTTTCTTTGGTAACCTCATATCACATATGTGGTCATCATTTCACATTTTCTTAATGATTATCGACGATGGATGTCGACTTAATATTTTCGCGTGGTTGCATTCCTTCTTCACAATGGCGGAGAAAGAATGTAAACTCTCTTACACTAAGATCAGCTGATAAAAAAATAAAGAATTCATTCGAACGAAGCTTTTCGCGATAGCACGTTTTTGGCAGTTTACAGATTGCCAAGTACGTGATGCATGCTGAAGGTCACCGACCGGGCACTCGTCACGAACACCATGTATTTTTCATGACCGCCGATCAAATCGACAGAGTTCAAAAGGTCTGTTGACAACACTTCGTAGGCCAGGTTTGCTACCATTGCCTTTGTGGCACCATGATGTAGTCGTGCGGCTTACTTGAAGCATTTTAAGGCAATTGCTCTAGTAAATTTGATTCTTTTCACAAAATGCGCGCGTCTTAGGCTTCCCTGCATATGTTGATGAAGCAGATCTTCAGCTTTTCTATTTTAGATCGAGTGTACACTACCGTATGGGTTTGAAAATTCGGAACTTAATGTCGAAGATGCAGAAGAGATCAGTATATTATCAGAAACCAAACAAACAGTCGATTCAATCAGGTACGAAGTCAACATCTGCGTCACTTCAGACAAAGCGAAACTCGTTTAGACGGAGGATTGAATACTTGCCATCCGCATGTATAAGACAGAGTTCATCTGGGAAGGTAGTGTCTCGTGAACTACGGTCATTTTCTGGAGCCATGGTTGATCAGTATACCGCTCCCGACTATCGCCGGCAAGGACTTGGCCAGACTGTTGAAATTATTCTCGCCCAGAAAATCATCACGTAAGCAGCAATGTCTAGCTTTAGTCCTAGAGAAATTTGATTGTGGCTTTACAGCCTCGACGAGACACCTTTTAAACTGGTGCCGACCTATCTGACGTCCATACTATTCTCCTCGCAAGAGTCTCCATTCTGGTCGATTTGGTCGCGTAACAATTTACCAGTCTCATTTGTGAAGCAGGCGTTCAAGAAGCTTTCGTAACTTATCTCGCTATGCTTTACAAAAAATGGTACTTTCGATACTCATGCTTAGAACATGTAGATAATAAATAAGTATACAATGCTTGACAAATGCCTGAGAATCCAAAATTGAAGAGATCGAGCAATACATATATCCTGTTCTATGTCTCTTCACACAGAGTGCCCCTCAGTCTCTGTTCCCGCTCCACGGCATCGAATAAGGCCTTGAAGTTACCCGCTCCGAAACCCTGGAGAAAGAGAGTTAAATTGCCTCCATCACGTGTGAAGAAGTGCTCAAATGAAGCTTACGTTGAAATTTCGCCTTTGTATGATTTCAATGAATAAGGTAGGTCGATCCTGAACAGGCTTTGTGAACAATTGCAGAAGGTAGCCATTGTCGTCAAAGTCCATTAATATGCACAGTTCGCGTAACTGCAAGATTGTTTCAATTTCTGAAAGTTCCCGACGAATGGTGGAAAAATGTCTATGTAATTACTTTAGCTATATCTTCCTTGAGATGAACCTTCGAATTCTTCAGCCGTTCCTCAAGCAACACGTAATATGAGGGAGGGACATGGAGGAATTCCACTGATCTACAATTGATGCATCTACGCACAAAACGCTGTATGCTGAAACGAACCTTTCCTGCATTTTTATTACAGTACTTACGATATCATCCACAAGAAGAGCAACGTGCTGGATGCCAGGTCCACCATTATAATTTACGAATTCCTGGAAGAAGTGTCTGCAAAGTTATAGCAAGCACCATTGACTACCTCTATCTGACTCGTTCCGTTTCTTCTAGGTACTGCCTCCGCTAGAGTCATCTGCACTTTTTGGTCATCATTAGTGATCAGCCAAGCCTTCATAGCCGAGTATTCAGAAGTGGTGATTCTATCGTCAATTGACCTACAACAACATATCTGCATCAACGTCTCTGGCTTCAGAATATAGAAACAAACCAAAACCGATGCAGAGCTAAGCTTTGCTTGTACCATTCAGCAGCATCCTCAATGGTGCCGACTGGATAATTTTGTACTACGTGATCCACAAGGACCATTGGTATAGGTTCCCTGGGGAGAATAACATTTAAGACGTCCACCAACTAGATTATATCAATGTTTGTAGCTGTAAATTCACAGTGAGCTGCAAAGAGCATAGTCGTCTACTGGCTGGAAACCAGGCAGGAACAGGCCATGATAATCTTTGTCGTTAACAAGAGTATGCGTGATGTCGCTGTCCTGGACATTGCTAAAATTTAACGGTGCCAGTGGGAAAATGTGCAAACCTTAGCTTGCAGCTTCAGTAGCATTACCCTACCGTCTTCGTCTTGAATCATGGTCTTCGGAAGCAAGATCTCGACTCCATTACTGATTAATCTCTAAAATGGCGCGAACTTGCGTACGAGAGTTAAAATAGTTTTCGAACAGAGTTATTTCCGTTTCCCATCCTTCATAGAACGCTTTTTGATAAATTTAGATACGATTGATTTGCAAACAATGAAAAGACCGACTTTTCAATTGCTCTCTGTTTTAAAGTGAAATTTGAACTTTACAATGCATAGTTCCTGGCGCAGAGAGAAAAATGTTTGTTTTTTCAAATAGTTCGCTTTCATCGCGAAGATTTCGATGGGCTATTCCATGACATTGCTGAGAAAATGTTAGAAGACATGTATACTACTAAGAGTCAGAGTTCTCTCATTAAAGTCTCATGGAGGAATGAAACACGATACCTAAAGCCAATCATCGGACAATTCTCACCTCGGCAACCGCATCAATATCATCTACTCGAAAGGCGATGTCTTTAATAGCATCACCATGAGCACGTATCTGATCAGAATTTTCTTTATTCATGTCGTCATGAATAGACTTGATGACGAATATAGCCTGTAAAGAATTTGTTTATTTAAGCCGGACAATGTCATACATACTTTTCCATTCCGTATCGCAATTGCTGTCGTTTTCTCATCTTTTTGAATAGCAAAACGGTTGAAGCCCAGACAGCAGCAATACCAGAACGATGTCTAAATCGTCATATGGTGTACTTTTATCAGGGAAATGACTCAGCTAATGATATAAGCGGGAAGCTACTGCCAATAACCTGTAGCGCATTCGAAACACGGAATTCCACATAGTGGAAGTCCCTTAATCCGTCCATGTATCCAATCAGACGAGTAGTAGAAAGAAAAGCCTGAAAAATGCACACCTAACGATGGTACAGAGAATGCGTAATTTGAGCTTTTTCGTCCTTTTATGCGAGTCACAGATTTATTTGAAATCGTAAACTTATTCCATGCAACCGAATTCTCTTTGCATATAATATGTGCTATTTGCAAGCTTTAAGCATGGAGCAGCCATTTTCATGGTAATCCAACTTAACTTCAAATTAATTTACGCAAAAGGATAACAGTATCAAACAGTAACAAAAGGATCGAGTCATACTTACTCCGAAAGAAGTTCTCACAGTCAAACTTCGGAACGACGATTCAAGTGCATGACTTTGTTTCTTAGTATGGTGCAGCAGATAGGCATGTAGCAGAATTTGAAAAAAAAAACAGAAATACCAGAATCAAAAAAATGCGAGAAAAAATCGAAAAGTTTATTCCAGCAAAAGCGACAATTATTCAATGACGCTCCGATTATTATACAAAGGTAGGGAGCTGCGCTTAGAAAAAAAAAGTAAGTATAATCTGCTTTTACACAGGAATCCCAAGATCGAAGGTTCACAACACAACCGCACTTATCTATGCTATCATTAACGCAAATACAAGGTTGCAAGATGTCTTATCATAATTAGCGAAAGCGGGCAGCATCTGCAAATCAAAATGCTCATAAACGCGAAGAACTTCTCCGTGCTTTGCAGGCCCTACTCGATCAAAAACGCCCTTTCTTTTCTGGAATATTCGCTGTACTCCTAAGCTTGTAAACAATGGGTACCGAAAAAGTTGAGTGAAATTTTTGACCACTTTAGTTCTGTGACTAATGTCTAGGTCAAAAGAGAATCAATCCTAGTTATCGATAAATGTTATTTTGACCTTATTGTGCTAGCCTTGGAGATGGCCAGTATTGAAAAATTATTAGGTAGGCTTTCGACTAAAAGACAGTGCAACAAAGTTTAGGATAAACTCAGGAAACCATCAAAAGGGTCACTGCATAAGCTCCCACAATTATTGACGACTGAGACGGGGAAGCAATCAAATATACTTATAAGCTTGAATCAAATTTGCAGTTATGAGAAGAAACCAACAAAAAATAGTTTGAGCTAAGGTGTATTGTGGAGAAGAGTTATGGATGTAACAGATCATGGCTGCGTGCAGGCTCGTCCGTAGACCGTCAATCTCGACCGATACTCAGGTCAAATTATGACCATCCTGTAAGCCTGAATTTGTAATTTCTGAAGATTATGATTGCATCGCCTCTAGTGGGTCTTTCTGTTACGAACCTAAAAAGACGGTTGTAAGGCGATCGATTTTCGCAGTATAAATTTTACTTAACTTTCGCCTTTATCAAACCGTGTGCAAGTAGGCAATTGATATATAAGTGGTGGCTGTAGTTGGCTCCGAAGGTTCTGGAAACACTATTTTTTGCCGTTTATTCTTCCTGGCCTTTCTCGTGGATTTTAGTTTTTAGCAAGGCCTGGGGATCTCAAAAAAGGCAGCATGTGAAATCTATTATTTTCATTTTGTAGTTATGTAAATCAGCGTGGTGGGAGCTCGAAAGCCGAACTGCTTACTTAGAATAGATAGCAGATGCCCCCGTTAACATCTTCTAATTATCAAAGTTCGTGCAGAAGTAATGAGCGTTCCTCATTTTGTTGTAGCAGAGAAGGTATGAAACTGGATGAAAAATTCATTTGATAGAAAAAGCAAGTCCAAGAGGGCATCTGTACAAGCAAACAGCTCGTCACATGCACAACAAGCGAAATTTCGGAAAAATAAAAATTCTAATTACTTGAGAATCTTATTATTGTCCAAAACTGAAAAACCTCCTATTTGTTCAAAAGAATTACTCATCACAGCAAATAATCATGTGCACACCTGCTAAATGTTTGTCATGGCAAGATGTTGAGAATGTGAAATTTTGCATGCTTTGCCAAAATCAATGCAGATCTGTTCTGAAATGAATAATTCTATACTACAAACTAGTACAACATTGAAATGGCCTTCTTCACAACATGAAAAATCTAGAATGGCGACAAATTCGTATTTCTGGGCCGTTTTCATTCCTCATATCCAGTCATGAAAAAACACGGCAAGTGTACATATCATTGTCTGACGTGGATAATTTATGCTTGAAGTTAGTTGAACGTTTGTGAGATATTTTAATAAAGTTCCGATTCTCTTTTTTTAAGGCTGTTCAGGTTTTTTCTGTGTAGATCGAACTTTTTGAGATTGTACAAACTCTATTGAATGATAAATTCTATACATTTAGATATCTTCTACGCCTTAAAAGAATTAGGAACGGTCACTACTTTGCCGCCAACCTGATATACTGGAACTGCTCCTTGCAAGTGAAAATACTGAGCCCTGCCCAAATCTGTTCTCTCTTTTGTACATCTTATTTTGTAATTATACTTTCGGTTCAATGTTGCAAAAAATCGGTTGTGCTCTGACAAGGGAAGGATACTTGGTGGAATTGGCATTTCCATATGTATACTGCCTTATAGAGCATGGAGCGCTGATTCCAACTGCAGCGCTTCTGTTAGGGGAGTTACGAGAATTTTTTGAAAAAAATCTGAACATGCGAGTACAATAGAAACATTGTTAACTATAGTCTGTGCGCTCAAATAAAGCGTGATTACTGCCAGGGCACTTTATGCAGTTAGCACCCTGTGTCTAGTAAACATATGCTAATCTACTCTATTCTATTCAAGCACACCTGTTCTATCTCAGCCAAAATCCTGGATTTTTACCTCAAAAAATTCCCATAATTCCGCTGTCACAAGCGCTAAGTAAATATCAATTTAAAATCGGCGTTCCATGCTCTATAAGGCAGTATACATTTCATATGGGAAGCCAATTCGATCAAGTAAATTTCCCTTGTGATGGAAGCGAGCACACAGCTGCAAAACAAATCGAATATGCCCGGGGCGGAGGGGAAACGATGATTGCAAGTCTCCCGTGGCAACAAGCCGAACGACACTGCTTATCGCACATATACTCATGTCAGAAATAATATATACTGCATCGCGTCCCAGAATTTAACAGTGACTCATATCGTGCCACCATCCTGCCCTGTCCAGAAAGCAGTTCTAAAGGGCTCTGAAGATCCAGCTTGACTTTTGTCTGCACATTCTTGCCAGAATCCATAGCGACAATCACCTCCGCCCCCTGGAAAAAAACTTGCTGTATAATTTTGAGCGCAAACATGCTGTTTTAGTTATTGAGCAACGGGCGTCGGCCAGCTTTGCTATTGATCCTTTTTAGGACACGCTGCCATGCATACTTACACATGTGCGTATCTATTCCATGTTCGAGTATGCCCCTCATTACTCCGGACCTAATCCTACTAAGCAATCGCAGTTATCCGGAGTTCGCACTCATGCTCTTCACCTTGCTCCCTTCCTTTGCAGAGCAATAATTTCGGCTGGCGTCTAGATTCATGCAGACTGCATTTACTCTATTTCCGTTCTTGATTGAATTCACGCTAGGCAATACGATGACCACTATCATATCCGAGTCATGCCCCTGGACATTCGATCCACCCGCTGTTTGAACCTCAGCTTTGTTCGAAGCTCATCAGTCGTGCCTCATTCCCATTTTAGTAATTAAGTCGGCTTCCTCACGCTGCCGCTTTCCGTCAATAATACATTTCGCATTCATCAAAAGGAACATATTGTTTATTTAGCTAGTATTCGCTTTTTCGGTGTCTGGTGTATCGATCATGATATTAGTCTCGAAAATGCCAAAAATTATGACGTTACATGCACACAACAGCTGCGTACACAGAGTTCTTTATCTATGACAATTTATCTCTTATTTCGGTTGCGCAATTGAAGGTTGAAACTTTTGAGTTAAGATCATACGGTATAAAATGTTTTCTTGATCTAATTTTCACGAACCCGTAAGATTCCAAAATATTTGGTGCCTACTTCTGTCTATTCAAAAATTTAAGTCCTTTTCTTCCTAGAACATTTCTTATTAACCACCCAGTCAAGTGCAAGTTGCTAGGAGTCTTCCTTTTGAACACTGCATACTTCACCCACCAAGTCATTAATATGTATTGAATCCCCATCTTTCCTCGTTTACATCAATGAAAGTCCATATTGCTGAACTCTCAAGATGTGTTTCTTGATATATGCTTGCGCCCATCAGATGTCAGTCATATGAGCGCATTGTCTCAGGAGACCTCATAAGTTCTGCTTGTTTTGAGATCATCCAATAATTTGTTCCAAACTTTTTGGCCACAAAAACTTGTGAACTTTGGAGAGGTATTTTGAACAGCACCAGAGGCTGTTTGTAGCTCGGTTCGAGCTTTGTCGTGAGCTAGACTTTCTCAGAACTGCAATATTGTCGTGTCCAGCTTCCACAGAAAACCTGTAAGACGTGTAATTGCACTGCGACATCATTACCACTGCTCTACCAGTTCTATGGCAAGTTTGCTTCTCGTTTTCGTGCCAGCCAATTACGTCTGTGCGACCGTCAGCACAACTACTACCTCACACCTCGTCTCATCAGCGTACTCCTCGCCATGATTATGACCTCGAGCGGGGATGGACCAGTTTGGCAATAATAGACTGGCGGAAATTGTTCGTCTCGTCGTCGTTGTGCATATTTGGTCGCGTTCATCTCACATGACCTACAGTTGTTGGACGCTATTATATTTGCCATTACTCATACCATGATCAAATGACGTGTTTGTGTTTCCAGGTCATTCATTAATACGACAGGAAATGCTAACAAAGCCATTTCTCTGAGCTGGTTGCTCTCAAAGTTGAATTTTTCAAAGCAATCTCGGCGCACGCTGTTTTTTGTCTCACGGATAGTCTGATAAAAATCAAAAAATCAAATCTTTAGCGCAACCTAGAAATGAAGCTAATAAATTACACTTTTATGGGAAGCGAAATGCAAGGCAAGAACAGAGAACGTCGTCGTAGTAAACCGGAAATGTAACTTTTCATGTTGATCTTTGTTCTGTACCGTGATTCAACAAATTTCCGATGTTATCATGCATTCACCTATGACATGTAATAATTTAAGACTGGCTGAATTATTCGACCCTCTCATGCCTCTTCCTTATCTCAAATTCTTTTAAGGTAATAATGTCAATCATGAATAGACCTAAAACAGGCTACAATGTCTACGAATACATTTGAAGTTCTGCCATGATGCCATCAGCTGAGAAAATATTTTTGTTAACCCGTGAAAAAAACAATTAAAAACAGTGGTTTTTCCAAAGCCACGAAATATGTGAGTTACATTTGTACATTACACGATTTGCCACGTACACGAAATCTAATAGAATGAATCGCGAGTTCGTTTTTTACCCATCGAAAAAAAACTGTATCGACGGTTTCCACGTTGAAACAAACATTTACGTTGCTGCACAAACTCTGACTGTTTCACTGCCAACAATAATCTTTATGAAATAACTGAATAGCAAACTTATTTGTGCACTAAATTGACACAACGATTCGTTAGCACACTGCCATCGTTATTTTCAGAGATTATTCGACAAGCATCCTTATCACCAGTTATTGTTTTTTTTTTCCTAAATTCTGGCAGACACCTGACATTGCCGAACGCTCTCTACCCGTAGGAGTAAATGGACCGCCAATCGTTGAAAGCTCTACGCTGTCCTTCTCGGATATCGCTCTATGCGCGACCATCTGTCCGTGATGTGCTCGGCCAGTGCTAGTATGGAAAGTCCCATTGTTACCAACACGCCAATTATTCACGCTATGTGCATGAAATGTTTCGGTTTTTATCCTGCATCCTGGTGCTGCACAACGTTGATGTCGCTTACATTGCGACAAACTTTCACTTGTGATTGTAACTGAATTACGCTTTATTTTCTTCAAATATTTTCCAATAAATTTCGTTAGTTTTGTCATATCAGCTGGAATACAAACAACTACAGATAGCTTATATTTTCGCATGCATGCATTGGAATCTGTATCGAACCGTTGATTATTAATAGACTGAGCGTTGTTTTGGAAATCCTCTTGCACTATACATGCTGCGTAATTACATTAGCTAATTCGGTGATCATAGGTCTCCGGAAACGTTTTTTTTTTACTTTTAACCCAAGTCCTCCAGTTGTGTGAACTGTCTCTTTACTCTGTCGACCTAATTAATGTGAACTCAGTTCTAGAAGAGATTTCTTTTAGTTCTGAATCTGACACCGGATTGCTTGTCAGCTTGTTTCTCAATCACTTCCATTTCAGTCATTTTTAATGTGTATCCTCATATGTCCGATAGTAGAAGTTGGAATTTTCTGACACCAGCTTTGGCTTCTTTTTGCAGTCCGGCCATCACTCCAGCCAGATAAGCAAATTCTGAAATGAGAGGACTCAATGCCACACTAATGCAATCAATTAGGAGCGAGTTGAATGCAGATTTCTGGCATGAGCACTCTGTTCCGCGGGATTAGATAGCCCACGATTTACCAGAAAGAATTTGAATCAAACTCGATCCCTTTGCTTCGGATCAAAAAGAGATCGGTCTTTGATTTTTGAAAAATTCGATCTGTGAAGCTAGTTCTATTCGATCCACATATATTCCAACTCATTCTACGCTTTTCCTCTTTTTCTTCAACAATATCTTTCGCTCTATGGTTTTTCTTATATTCATTCTTTACATCTTTTAGACTGCACTTTTCGCCTGTACACATGCGTTTGGAGCAACCTTGAATCCCACTTTGTTTTTTTTTCTCTAGAGAACTAGATCAATATGACCCTTCAGTTTGGAAGAACAATCTTGACATGATTCTTGGCAAGCTCAATCGTTCTGTTCTTCTCTTTTCCACGCTCTGAAAAACATTTACATTATGTGTCAATGTTTAGCCCTCAATCATGCGAGTTTGCTTGATAGTGAATATGATTTCATCTTCCCAACATTCAGAGCGGATAAAACACTTAGCGGACGCAGTAAGGAATCATATTCTAAGTTTGTATATGAGGACAAAGACAAAATTAGAAAGAAAAGTTCGTTGAAAAAGTTTGTTTGAAATTCCGCTGCTGTGCATGGACAAATACACAAAAAAAATTTCTAAGTCTCACCATCATCGTAAAGGAGTGGTAAATTTTTTTAAACTAGGTCAAATATTCCTATATACAGCGGGAATATTTCACTAACTAATTCGAACACGTGGTCTATTTCCAGTATTGTGCTTTTTTACTTGTTCGCTAGTCGAAGGGTCTTATTGGTCAAATCTGTTTCTCTATCATTCATCTTTGACATGATCACGTCTTTGTCGGAAGTGGTTTGGAGAAAATATTGCTCCAAGGATTCTGCAAGCTCAAACTTATCATCTCGCAAATGTATTCGCTATTTAACTACTGACTACTCAATTTCTTTGCGTGAGATCGTCATTTCTTTCTATTTTGGAAAGGTGACTTGATTTTCTTCTTACTTTTTTGGCCGAATTTTCCATTAACAGAACGGTTATTTGCAGTTTTGTTGCAAAAAGGTAGACGCGACAGCGTGCATCTGTTTTGCATGAATGTGCAAAACCCTCATTATTGTTCACGACTGCAACTGGCTCGAATTTCTGCAAATCACGTACAGTAGCGAAATTCAGCTAATCAAATCACAATCTTCTTGAAAGAAAACCAACGCTTATTTATGCATCACTTGGTCGGCTGGATTCAGCCTAAGCTCTAACGCTTTCGACAGGATGCTCATGTGAAATGAATGAAAGTGAGGTAGAAAATGAGATGGAACAGGCAAGAAGTGCGAAACGCTGTGTTATTTGCATTTCTCGAATGCATTGACTGTTCAAGAATGCAACCAGAAGCGCTCAGTATTCTTGCTTGCGTCTATACTGCGCTCCGCTTGATTGGATACTGGTTTATTACACGACCCTACAAAATGGGTAAGTCTATGCTTGAGATATTGTACCTTCTGGATAAATTGCCGAAAGTATCACATAATGTACACACCTTTAACTCGACATTTTGAGAAGTAGGTGTCTCTTTCATTGTCTCACGAATTTCAATCGTCTAAGCTAAAGCTTGCCATTGGAAAGCATTACCCGAATTCTTCACGCAATTTCATGCACATTCCAAAGCGTCTCTTTCTTATATCACGTATAAGAGTGGCCTTCAACCAAGATCAATGAGCAATGTACATCCAAATATTTCTTATTCATGCCCGGAAAATCTAGACCTCCAAATTCGTACAAATTGTTGAAACACTTGGCGTATGCACCTTTTCGATAGGAATTCCTACGGTAAAAAAACAAACCGGAAAACTGGCCCGTCCAGCATTTTATTTGAATATAGCTAATGACGCTTCAAAGCAGAAAGCGCTCCGGATTTTGCAAAGAAGACTGGTGTTTTGTGAGAAACGACTAATCAAAAAATTTCACGGTTTCGTCGGCTGTGTGTTTTTTGAAAATGCATCTAAGTCGCATTATAAACAAGATGAGTTCACCCTTTTTGCATGTGTTATGTTTTGTGAAAGGATCAGGTTCACTGAGTCAACAGAGGGATGACTGTGCCCTGCTAGTTACGGCAGTTGAAGTATGATTCCGCGAAAAGTAAGCGAGCATTTGATTGCAAACGTGGGAAGTGAGTGACAAATCCGCTGATGATGTGAGGCGAAGGTCTATAGTAGCGAGTGCCACGCTCTTCTCGACGGACACAGCTTCTTTCATGCTGCGATCGATGGAACCACGGCCTGTTTGAACTTTTCCGCAGCTCGCCTGACTTGTAATGCGAAGTCGGCGACTTCATTCTGATGAAAAACAGCGTTCGGCAGAAATTTTGTCATCGTGGAGCCCTTGCCAGAGAAAATCGGACAAAAACTTACTGGAAAATTTGTGTCCTTTGCTCTCACAAGCTTAGCTGAAATAACGTTCCGCAGGAAGCAGTTGTCCGAACTATTGCGTGCCCTGATTGTTTTTTTTTTATCCTATGTTGTGAGAATGCTGTTTCCAAGCAACTGTTTGCATATTGATGACCTCTTTTGTGTTCTTGGTTCTCTTATTCTGAAGACCTGCCGATGACCCATTTGCACACAAGTTCGTGAATACACCCACTAATTTGCTATACGTGTCTCTTCTTGCGCATGCACGTAATCGTGGCCCTTAAAGGCTTTTTCTTCAAATTTCTAACGCTCATCATCATTTACGACATAATTCTTTGCACAAAAATCGGCGCTTACATGATAATATAACTGATCAACAAAAGATCGTGACTCTTTTCTCCAAATCGACCACATCTCCATTCAGTTTTTAACGTCAATATTTTATAAGTTCTAAGGATCTTTCTCGAGGTGGAAAGGATTTGAGGAAACCCTGATGCTACTCCATAGCTTTCATCGTTTCGGCTCAAGCATAATTTTGAACGACATTCAAGCTTCTCTTGTTCTAGTAATATCTAAGGACGAGCACCATACCAGCACGTAGACAACTTTGCAATGAACTCACCATACTCAAATTTCAACGTGCCATTCCGTGGCAATGAATATTCATTGGATTCTTCGGTCATTGAATTTCACAGGTTCGCTGAGTCAAGAGCAGCTCTCTAGGCCGTTGTATAGTTCATAATTTTTCATTCCGTGGAAAGCTTATGTTTTTTGTTGTTGATCAAGTTTGCGCTATGCTCCGATTTTTGAGATTAATTGCACGCATTGGCAGAAGTGCTGCCTTTCTATGGTTTGTCTCAAACTACTGAACTCTTATTTTCGAATTCAGTTTTCTTTGTAACTTTCTTCCTGCTTTAAATTTGCTTTAAGTTTATGTTACATTTTCGCAATCTTTGGAGGCTTTTAAGTGGTCCATAAGCTCGTTTTCTTTATTCTTATCAAATTGCTTCCCTTGCTCTCTCATTATAACCATCACACCATGACCAACGTGTGGTACTCTAGCCAAATCACATCAATGTTTGCCTATCAATTTTGTTAAAAGTTAGCCGTGCTGAAGTGTGCTCATTCTATAGCATTCCTGACCGAATTCATGCTTCATCTTCTAGCTCTGATATTTCTTCCTTTTATTTAGATGAAATGACTGGAGATGCGATCTGCTGTGATATGGGAGCAGTACAATGCTGCGCGTGAACAGCTTCAAACGCGTATAGCCGAAAAAATACGAAGACAAATGAGCACACTAGTACGTTATTCTGAAGTTCGATTTCTTCTTTTGTTAGCCAGTGTTGAATGGATTGGCGGAGGCTAGTGTGGTGTGTGTTTGGCGGCCAGCTGCAGCTATTCCCAAATGTCTTACATAACGGCACGGTTTTTCGGTAGTACATGAGGTCACTGGGGAGCACATTCAACTGCCTGCTCCAATTCGTTCTGCTTGTTATGCTGCCTGTTTGCAATGCACCGAAAGCGAACCTTCTATGTCGGAGCACTAGCCGAAGTGGTAATTATTTTCGTTGTCATGGCAGTCACCTTACGTGTAGCAAAGCATGTAGATGAAAGTTGGTTTAGTCTACCTCTGTAAGCGCATTTTATCATAAGTGCTGAAAATCACTGGGGCTAAGATTCTATAGTTTACCGCCTGCATTTTGAATTCATCATTTACATCTATGACAGTAGCATAATCTTATCAGCTTCAAATTTTGATTATGTTCGGCGGAGTATCTGGGCACATGGGATCGCCAGGTCAACATTGCTATAAAATCGCTTCAGCTACTACGGTACTACATACTGTAGCCTATTTTCATCAGCGCGCTAAGTGTTTGCGGTTCAGAATTGATGAAAATTGTTATACAAGAAATTGTGAATCACTGTTTTCAGCCAACTGTTCAACTGTTTTCAGTCTTACATTGAATTTCACTTTGGCAATTGGTACTCAGGACTGATGCATAGCTTTCTTATTGAATTCATATCTAATATATGAAGAATCGTAAGCGCAATTCAAAAATGTGCAAATAGCGAAAAACCGCGTGGCGGTCCCGAAGCTAATGCTCTTCCAAATAGCACCTGTGGATTACTGGTTCACTAGTACCATAATACTATACTATAGTTGTTCAAATCGTAGAATTTCTCACTACTCTACTCAAAGAGTAGATGCGGTCTGAAATTGATACATAACAATAACTGAGAGTACAGCGCCGGGTAAACAAGATTACTTGCAAAAATAATTGCGCCAACGAAGAATTTTCCATAGGTTGGCAACATGGAAAGTGCGGATTTACTGTTGGTAGCTGCCGACGGGCGTAAGCTTCCTGCGCACGAATGTATTCTGCGTGCGCGGGCACCCGGATTTTACCAGCGACATGTCGAGGCTACCGTAGCTGCAATGGGCAAGCAGGAGGGACGCCTGCGAGAGGTCTGTTTATTCGAGAACTTTCGAAAAAGAATAACTGCCCAAATCACGCTCACATGGATATTATAGGCTTCGAGTGTATTTTTTAGGTGGCTATCGGCGACATCGATTCGTCGGGCCTCGAATTTTTCATTCATTCCGTTTACACAGAGGACGAGATGGCTCAGTTCCCATCTCAGCTTGAAGAAGAACGCCGTAAGTTTTCGTTTTACTACTTTCACTTTCAAACATACATATAAAATACAAACTCCTTCTTCAAAATTACCTCGGAGATGAACGAAAACGATACATCTGCCTTCATCTGCCTTTGCCTAGTATGATTGATTTGCTGCTTGACTTTCTATTTGCTTTTCATCTATGATCACCACACCACACATGTGCTAGAAATGATCACTGGTATATTTTAGCCAAAAACTCTCAGTTTTCTTCAAAGGAGCATTGACATGGAGAATCCCTTCTTGCAAGATGCACTCGCAGTACAGCCTGCATCTGCACTCTAACTCAAGATAGTTGCAATACTAGATGGTTCATTATTGGCTAAATACTTATCCGAGAATGGACTGGCATAGATGCCAGCTGCTTGAGAATTACATTTAGACGAATCGGATCAGCACCTATATATGATACAGTTTAAGGATAGAGGCGATAAGTGTAGACGTTTTTTAGATGTGATAGCTACAAGTACACACTTCAGCTTTGCAAAAGCGCTCTTTCCTATCTTTACTGCATTCAGGGGACATTATTCCCTTAACCATTAGCTAACCCTCCTGTGCTCTTAAACACTTTCTTATGTATGTTAGCGTACCAAAAAATGCAATCTATATGATTACTTGGTAACAGCGCTACTTAAAGATTTGTTGACAAATTTGGCGAAAAATTAGGATTCCTTGCAAGTTTGCTCATCAAGATAATCGAAAATTTAGTGTGTGAAAACTGCCGACGATTTGTGGGAATGAAAAAGCTTCCAGGGGTTATAGAGGAGAGTGAGTTCCTTTCGGTGTGGCTTAAATAATCACGCGCTCTTGTACAGCACACCTTCTCAAGTAGCTGCCATTTTTCACAGATTTGGATATTTTCGAACTCAGCACTGATACAGAATCCGTGAAAGATGGTCTACGTCAAGGAGCACTTTTTCCAATTTTTCTTCTAGTTCCATTTCTATACAGCTGTGAAATGCTGCAGAAGTTCTAAATGTGCTCAAATTTGTTCTGAAAAACAATCCATAGCATAGACTAATTCTAGGCGATTCATCACGTGCGTCAAACCGATCGCTAGCCATGGACGAATCCACAGCCGAACTGGATTTTCACCAGAGAGGGGCGGATGATAGGTAAAAAAGCAGTTAAATCACTTCTAGAAACACATAAAAAATCAGTCAACCTACAAATAGCTTCTTAAATCATTTGACATTCGTGCTATCAAACTTCTAAGAATGACTTGAAAAATTCACCAACTCCCGCGCATTGAACCATTTCCCTTCAGCAAGTTTACTCTTTCTCTTTGTAAGTAAGACTATCAAATTCAGTTGCACCTAAAGTTTAAAAAATTGTGTGTCATGTCCAACAAACACTTTGGCTGAAACTTCACCGTGATACTTACGCTTCGAGCTATCCTTATCCATCTCTTGTTGATAGTCGAAGAAAAGCGGTGTTGAAACTTCTGAAAAGGTCTCGTGATAGATAAAACATATAGCACCAGCACTTTGCCTTGAAACGAGGTGACGAATTGAATAATAATAATCAAAATATAAAAAAGAATATGTCCCTGTTTACTATGTTATACAGAATGCACTGATTTGATTCTATAGGTCGCTAGAGGAGGAAACCCCGACTGCCGGACGACCGCCTCTCGGTGATTTTTTAGAGTCCGGAGTAAGTGTCAAGCTTGAAAAATTTGCGTAATTCTGATAAATGGTAAGCATTGACAATTTAAGCGTACAGAAATTACAGAGCTATCCGCCTTCTCCCCGTCGAACTATGACGTCATCGACACCGCCGTACATTCCGTCTTCAAATTCGACTACAAGTCAAATAGATGCTGCGACGTCTTATGCTTCGAATCCGATGGCGTCATCAGCACCAGTGATGACGTCGTTCAGAGATCTGGCATCGGGCTCTCCGATGACGAGTTCCGCTTATTCTCTCGGCGGGAGAAGCGAGGTCGCTGATATACCGGAGGAAGACGAAGACTCGCACGCAGAAAGGCGACGCAGTAGAGGGGAAAGTTCGTAAGACAAACTGAATCCTTTCCGCTTTGATCAGAAATTGCTGTTTCAGTTTCAATGAGCAAATTCATACGACTAGACAGAGATGAGCCGAAGGACATACAAAAAGAATACTTGGAACGAAAACGCTCGCGAGAAGGTCAGGAGATATCATGATAAAGAATTTGCATGCTTACAACCTTACCGGAAACCTCTTTTCTTCCCTATCGGGATTCTTTTGTTTGGCACTGAGTTTTATGTTTCTCAACATGCACTTCACTCAAAAAAAAATGGATGGCACACAACTTCGAATGCACCTCTTCTTAGGACCCAAGCAAATCTTTCCAATGTTCATCGGGTTGGCCGATGCTGATGTTGAACAACAACGGCCTGCTGACGTACCTCGTAGTGGACGAATCATAATGACGAAACGACTATCAATGACGTCATTAACTTCTCTAAATAGCATTGACATGACACCTACTGCTGAGGGTGAGTTCGCGGTCAAGGGTGCTTACAGGATTGAGTTTTACTTTTAAGGGGGTGCTTGGGAGTCTAAGAACTGTTCTGTTTGTTTTTATTTTGGATTTCACTGGCTGCTTCATTACTCCTCCATTCGCCAGTCAGTGTTAGTATTTATTGGCGCAACATTTTCTGACAAATAAGTTATGGCTTGGAAGGGTACGGACTGCCAAAGAGACCAAGACAATTCTTGACCTTCATTCCTGTACTCACTGCCCTATTAGAGCAACTGCAAAATCGCTTATTCGCCATAAGCACTCGCTTCTTGCTTACCCAGTACACGATTCTCTTGCATTGTGCTAAGACTGCAGAATATTTAACTGATTTTTAGCTCAAGTACCACAACCGGATCGTGCGCCCTGCAGTCGCTTAGCTTCAGACCTCATGCAAATGTACCTCAATAATCAAGACACGGATGTTGTGATACGAACAGAAAGTGGAGATCTACATGCACACAAGTATGCCAAATCGTCTTTCATAGTGAATTAGGCATTTCGTCGTATTATACTTCAAAAACCATGTGAATAAAGCTCTGTTTCTTTCACTCACGAATAATGGCTATTCAGATGCATTTTGTCAGCTACATGCCCATTCTTTCGACAGCAGCTACAAAAATCAAGACGGATTGAAATGAAAGGGTGACCAAAAATCTACCTTCTTCTTGCGCTCACCAGTGGAAATTTTCCCTTGCAGATACTCACGAAATGCTATTCATTTCCTCTTGTGCTTTCTTTACGGCGGTCTGACTTCTATACCCGACGAGGTATTTTTTATGATTTTTATTTTATAACTAAAACTACAATAAACTACCCAAAATGTGGTATAAGGGCCTCGCGGCATAAATCCGTCCAACAATAAGTCTAATACAAATAAGGCTGCTTCGAACTATCTGACAAGATTGTCTTATCTGTAAATGGACTTTGAATGAAAACGGAATCTGTAGGTGGACCTCAACTAAAGACGGACTTCTGTAGGTCAAAAAAGCCTTTAATGCCAATTTTAGGATGATTTTTCCTGTCTTGGCCTAGCACACTTGAAAGATGTACGTAAAAGCAATAAAATCGCTTCAGAGTGGGGTTACAAATACTTCAACCTAGAGATGCAAGAATCTAGACTTTGCTGAACTACCCAGATGAGGGTGCCTTGACGTGCTGATCACGAGCATTTTACATGATACCGCCTCGTTTGTGAGTAATGTGTATATGCAGGATGAGGTCACATCTTCAGCGCCATAACTTTGGATTGTCTGACATACCGACTACACGACTAGAAGTCGAGTTGGTAGGCGAGAACTATGGGCGTGGCCATTAAATTATCATATTACATAAGTTGTCCGGAAAATAATGTCGCATCGTGTCTTAACATGCAATATCGCAGCAGGGTGCGCACGAAAATAAGTAAGTGGGGTATCAACCAATAGATCAAAGCAGTTCTACAAAATGAATCTCGAAGCTTTGCGCCAGGTTTAATTTGCATGAAGTTTGGAGCCAAATTTCATAAGGCATTAAATATCTAAAAAACGAAAAAATCGTATCTCCGTTTAGGAAAATCCTGGGAACCGCTAACTGCTCACGCATGGACTCACTATATGAGACACTCATATGCACATTTTCGCGGTTTTTCCGTGGCTGAAAATTGAGAAAACGAAATTCGGCATAATTTTGCCAAAACAATTCTGAGCTTCTCTTACATGGGTGATTCTGTAGTATGAACCTTTAGGAGTATAACCATGAGTTAGACGCTTTAGACAAGCGCTAGTTTTCGAGAAAAATCAAACTGTTTGCAAAAAACCCGAAAAACGCGACAGATTTGCACTTTTGACCTATTTTTATTTCTCGTACTGTAGCCATGGAAAAATACCACAAACTATACAGGTGAATGTCTAGAGTAGAGAGTATATGCCGTGCAAATTGGAGATCCATAAGACGTCTATGAACGGAGATACGATTTTTCGGATATCTAAAAAATTTTATATCTTTGATTCGAACTTCGAGTGGAGCATTTCCGCGAAGGTTTGTAAACTACCTTGAAGAACTTGCTTTTTTCCATCAAATGAAACCCCAATCGCTGTTTTTTGTGGTCATTCTGTCGCGGTAGGATACCATGCGACATTATTTTCCGGACAACCTAATACATTCCCAAACCCTTAGCACGTAATGATTTGTACAAAAAGCCCTATCATGCGGATATCAGTTTTGATGAGCTAACCCCTGTGCATAGTTTAGCAAAATCTCAGATTGCATATCTGACTGGACGTGGAAACGCCTGTATTCCAGGTAGACGTTTGGGAAGTCATCGCTTTAGCTACACATCTCAATCACAAAGATCTGGCAGATGTCGTGATACTCCACCTTAAAGCGACAAGATGTCACTGGTTCCATCGAGTAAGTTTGAATAGGTTCTCAGTTTTTGTTATCCATGTCTCGAATACATTAAGAACAATACATTGACTCGAGTAGTCGTTGCAATAACAAGCGGCTTTGCTGTGTAACAAGTTCATGTTTATGATTTCACTGACGACCTCGCACACTGATCAAGATTGCGCGGACCTGTATACTGACTTGCTGTATACCCAACACGATGTTACTCTGTCACGCTTACACAGACAGTAGTTATTCGGAGAAGGCAACCTTTAGGCAACAAAGCGTGGAAAATCGAAGCAACGAGGTTTTGAAGGCAGTGGCTCAACAGATTGACAACCTTGGGGTAATTCATCGTCCTCAACTCCCCTGGATGAGGTCAGTCTAAATTGTGCTTCTTTGCAGCTTTCGAAGATATCAAACTCGTTTTTTTTGGGCGCGGAAGCTCCTGTTTGGGCGGAAAGTGGAAGCCGGCTCCTTTTTAGAACGACTGGCTGCTGGAGCCAGTATTCCAATTGCCGCCGAGAGGGGGCGGTGTCTCGAGCCATCCGGAATCCACAAGCCAGTCGCTCTTTACAGGTCGGCCTTTCGCTTCCCGCCCAAACAGCACTTCCCACGTCCGGAAAAGCGACTTATCAGTATCTTTAGAAGCTGCAAAGATAATTTGAACTCAACTCATCCAGAAGAATCGAGAACAATAAATACTCCAAACGTCCCGATCTGTTTAGCCACTGCCTCTAAAGGGAGTGTTCGGGCAAAAAGTCGATCTTGAGATTTTCTGTGCCTGGACCTATCCGCTATGCTGAGTCCGAAAATCTACACTGGAGAGAAAGAAACCGGCGAAAAAGTGCGCTAAAGCAGATGGGGACATTAGCAGGTGGGCCTTCCACTGTGAAGTTTCGCTCCCAGCTTTCGGAGCGATCTTCTCGCTTCCGCTAGCGGCCCTAACCACGCCACCGGCCAACGAACGCGCGAGTTTAAGTCAGCACCAGGGCCTAGCACAGATAGTCTGGGGTGAAAATGCACTTCGTTTTTGAAGTTGGAAGCAATGGGGATATCGTTTTTGTAAGGTGCTGAGAGAATCCCCGAAGGAAATCGACAAACATTTCGGGCTTTACGAGTTGTACGTGTTCTTTTGCTAGCGCGCGAATTTCAAACACAAGACTCAATCGAATAAATAGCTTGTTTACAGCGCACAAACAATCATATGAACCAAATTTGTGCTATGTGCATACAGTATTACTCTGAACTACATTCTGTGAAAAGTACCGAAAACTTATGTGTCTTAATAACCGTTCCCGAATTTGTTGGTTTTTAGACCAACACCAAACCAGCTGGGTTGGTTTGGAGCTTAAATATCATTTGATTTGGACGATTAGACGCTCAAGGATCTATCATATAGTGAAGGAAGTAAATCAAATCAATGCTTCTACCTTTTTGGGCCAAAAATAAGGTACCATACTCAATAGCAAAGCCAATCAACTTAAAGTATGTTTTTTTGGTTTCTTTGTATAAGATGCCTCCAAAGAAGCTCTTTTCGCTTTTTATTGTTATGTTGATTAAGTGAGGGCTTTCCTACTGATTTTGACGTCAAGGGGGAATTCGTAAAATTTTGCGGAGTTACGGGGGACTTCGTTTCCAAAAATGCTTCAAACCAACACGTGTCGCGCCCTGGTCGGTACCGTTAGGAACGCTCCGGAAGCTGAGAAGGTGACTCCACAGAGTGGAAGACTCCGCCCACCTGCTGATTAACTCAGGAGTTAGAGCCCTCGCAGTTTCCGCGCTCTGTCGTGTGTTTCAGATTCAGCACAGCGGATGGGCCCAGGTATGCATAAAATCTCAAAATCGACTTCTTGCACGAACGCTGCCTTCAAAGGCAGTGTCCGCACAAGGTTGAAGTTTCGAGATTCTAGGGCCATGCGAAAGTGAGGATCCTGCCGCCAGCAGGAATTCAAACAGGGAAGAGAGGCCTCTCCCCCCCCCCCCCGGACACGCCCTCGCGCAAGTGCGAGGCCATAACGTTTGACTACAAGCAAGAAATATGGTCGGAGAACTGGGAAACTAACGCTTTGGGGGGGGGGGGGGGGGGAGGGGCCTCTCTTCCCTGTTTGAATTCCTGCTGGCGGCAGGATACGCATGCCGATACAGCTAAAGTCGTAGGGTCCCGCAGCGACTCTGCGTCTCAGCCTTGGCGGCCGTCCTACTTCGAATTGTGAGGCTTTAAAAAATGCATGTCCTCGCAATTTTCGCGCTTCAATGTGGGTTTTCGGATCCACCGTGCAGATAATAGCAAAGGGGCTAGAAATTGAGTTTTTGCATGAACATTGCCCTTTACTCGCAGTGCTGCGCAATTTCCTCATGGCATGTATCTGCCCCCCCCCCCCCCACTTCCTAGTCAGTCCCCCACCGTGCCACCACTTTAACAACGATTTTTCTAAGATACAAAATTTGGACCTGTCGCCTAAGCCTTACACCCATTATCCATGGACCCTCTCGCACGGGACTTGACAAGTACGCTACTTTCAGGTATATAAGCCGCACTTTTTCAGATTTTCAAGCGAGCCGCTCAGTCGCTTCACTAGTTTCGGAAAGCGATTCTTATGCCACGCGATTCTCTAAAGCAATACATAGCACGGTATAGGATCCTTAGGTCGCGAAATCTTCTGGCCTGTTTGGGTTGTTCGATCATAGAAAAAATCTCCTGCGGCTTATACACCTGAAAATAGGGTAATCGTCTGTCTTACTCTTGCGCCTGATATACGGCCGCCGTCAACACCCTTATGCTATTATTTCAGGTTCTACTTTGATAAACAGAATTACTAGACAGGGAACGATACTCTGGTGACCCCGGCCATTCACAATGGTTTGTATATCAATAAACCCGCCTTTCAATGCTGGTTCGAATACTGTTTTCCATGTCTGCGAAATAAGAACCTGGATGGAGTTACAAGTACCCTATTTTCCGGCATATAAGCCGCAATTAATTTCGTCGCGCGTGGGCTGATGCGAGATGATGATGGCGATGTGCGAAGCCGCGCAAGCAGCCAACTATCACCTATTTTACCTAGTAGCTTGACTGTAACTTCCTGCTTTCGCTCTTTTTTGTGGAAGCATTGAAAGCACCATTGAAACATCAACATCATCATTAACAATCATTAAAATCGAATAAAATAGCAGCAGCTTTAATCTCAGTAACATCTTTGAAAACAAAAGAAAACACGGTCAACTCCATTGTATCCTTGAGGAAAAACACAACCCAAACACCCCAAATTCGCCCGAATCTCTGGAAAGAATAAAAAAGTATCTGAAACGTGGACATGCGCAATGAAAAGCAGTCACAAAATGCAGCGAGTTTTCAGTTTGTTAGATCAAAACTTTCTTTTCGAAGGCTCTTTCGTGCCATTGTTCGCTGCGGCGGGTGCGGCTTATAAACCGGAAAATAGGGTATTTTTTCAAGAATGATTTGCCCTACTGCGAATTGTAAAATCATTTAAAAAATTTTTCTTTCCTCTTTAAATGCTGAATATGATTTAGATAGATATAAATACAACGTACACCTTCCAGTATTCTCCTTAATAGCTTCAAACGATAAAATAGACCAAATTGAGTGATTTTAATTACCTAAAAGTACGCAAATTTTTTACGAAAAAAAGTTCATAATTGCCTTCACATGGCTGTCTCGCAGATTTTGAACACAGATTTAAAATCAGCGTTTTGAGGTGCACTTTATGGTATACATCGCATACCAAATGGCCGGGGTCACCAAACCTTTCCTTGTTAGACTTACCATTTCCTCGATTAGGTAAAGATCACTGTAATGAAAACCTTAAGTACCCTTCTGTAATCAAAACCTTAAGTACAAGTACAATCATTAACAACTTTCAAGCCGTGTGCCTCGTGCGTGTCTGCCGTCTTTGACGCTCTTCCACAGTTTGCCTCAATTCGATGCCTTAAGCCATTATATGATGAGGTAAGCGCTATTTGATTTCTAGTGGCTTTCTCTGTTCTATCTAGGTAAAAGTTTCTTCTGAATGCGTTTAAAACCTCTTCTGTTGAAAGCTGCTTCTAATCTGTGCATAAATTTCTTGGGACATTAGAATCGCTTGTGCATTTATGATAATTATGACATCTTAAGGCTTTGTTGTGGCAAGCGCGACATTTTGCTAGAATATGGAAGGGCCGCGTTTTCGGTCACCTGAATGAAAGGTGGCAGCGCGAATGCTACGAGGCCATAATTCAGCACATGGACGATGAGACTTTGATTGACACTATATTAGGCTGCGAACGGTTACAAGTAAGGATATTGTCTCAGAAGTTTTCACATCTCAAAGCTAATTACTTCTCAGATAGCGTTACCCCGTTCAAAATCCGAGTCGGCCCTGGCCGTGCTGCTGTTAGTCGACGACGTGTTGGAAGTGGCCATGCAGTTCCTCGTTCATTCATTCCATTTAGTAGTCACAAGTCGCTCATTTCAACAACAAGGGAAGGTAAGCTCAAAGCCTGGTTTGTTTTGTGATCCTACTTAACAATGGCGTTATTCTCTCAGTACATTTACGACAATATGGCCCACAGTGAATGCCATACGGTTTCAGATGTTCTAATTTTGACAGTTCACGATGGAACTTTTTGGGCAAACTGAGCAACATCTATATATAGGCTGCTGCATGACGAAGGCGCAATATCTTTGGACGCGAACGCGGCTTTATTAGCCGCAGAGCGCATGAGGCGCAGGATTTACAACAGTGGAGATGCGCACGCGTCGCCTTCGCACCCGCTCAACTAATAGTGCTTCTGCGCCTTCGTCGTGCGATAGCCTTCACATCTTTTGGAATGCTTCTCAAAATATTACCATTTCACTCAGTGAGACTCATAAGTGGGTCGTAATCTTGACATTGCAAAATTTAGTTCGAAGATCGCAGTTAATCAAAAATGGCCGGGCGTGGTTGTAATTAGGCAGTGTCCTAGCAAATGGAGCATCTGGCTCTTCACGTGGAAACGGAATGGATATTGAGTAAGGCATTCTCCGAGCGGCAACCCATATGATTCAACCAAGGCCGGGAAATTCGTCTCCAAACCTTTTCCTAGTACCGTATTTAGCGGAATTACTATTTACTGGCACCGGCTTACGTGCTTGCGGGCGACCCACCGCGCCGCGTTAATACGTCGCACAAAAGCACGCGAACTGATGTCTTTTTCTATACGGAGCAAGGGACAGATTTTGAGATAAGTTTGGCCGTGGATGAATCATCTCGTTGACGCTCGCACTGTATCGTCCCTTCCATACTCGCTGCTACCCTTGGTCTGCGCTTCTGATATGCGGCACGTACTATAACATGTTGGCAATGTGCCAAAACACGTTTGCGACATGCAACAACACGTTGTTAGAACATTTTGGCTATCAGCCTGAGCGCCAACATGGTGCTGCATGTTGCCAACATGGCTATGCGTGCCGCAGGTCAGAGACTCTGACCAAGGGTAGGACGTACGGTAACCACACGGCGCTGAAACGGCTGGATTCGCCATGGAGCGCGGCTGTGGAGCGGAGCGCGATATTGGCATGGAACTTGGTTTTTTTGGATCTTTGACCACTTGCTTTCAAACAAGCGTTCAATGAAAAAAATTTTTGGATCTTTGACCATTTGCTTTCAAACAAGCGTTCAATGAAAATGATGATCCAAAGAAGTTTTGTTATCATTTCTGCCGCTTGAAGTGCTTCTTTTTCACATGCTTACATATCAAAATCCACTCCGGGTAAGTGCATACTTACTTTTGCGGTAATTTCTAGTGCGGCAGGTCCTCCCACAATCTTGAAGCTAGATACATAATCTAACTATAGATCTCGAATTGATTGTTGTAACGATATTAAAGTGTATATATCAGTATTTGGATTGTATAACGTCATGTTGTCATGTAATGCATAAGCTGCTTTCAAGTACGCTAGCTTCTTAACTTACGTGTCTCCTGCGGTAACTCTGCACCTAGACTTTCATTGTCGAAGTTTGCTTCGACTATCCACCGATTCTTCGTACCTCCCATCCGAAGGTAAAGTTTTTCACTGGGTCTACACCTTCGCAAAAAAGTCTGAAAAGTTTGGCATCCCTAGCCGGCATACCTGGTTCCGTTCTTTCCTTCGATACGTTAAAGTGTGATTCGACATTTCATTTATACAAGATTCCCCATCCCTTTCCCACTTTCGTATGTTAAATTCCCTTCTCCATTATATTTAAGCCGTATATTTGCTTACCCATTTGTACCAACTCCCACCTCTAGCTCAAAATTTGAGAAAATGGTAGAAACGATACAGGTAACTGATAATCCCAAGATTCGTTATCAGCATGTTCGACTCCTCCGTACCAACTTCCAGCCCCGTAGCTCAGACTTCGCAAAAAAATCAATATAGTCACTATCACTCGATAAAAACAAGTAGGCTAACACTCCCGCCCCGCCCCGAAGGTATGTGTACAAAGTTTGGTCCGAATCTTATTCCTCAAAGAGAGCAAATTGAAGTTAGGTGAGGACATCCGTCCTAAACACAATCCGCGCTATCTATCCGCGCTCCATGGCAAATCCAGCCGTTTCAGCGCCGTGTGGTTACCGTACGTCCCAAGGGTAGCAGCAACTGTGGAATGGACGATACGTTGTAGTGCCTCACAATCAATCTATAGAAAGGAGATTTTCGAGATTTTTGTGACGTATATGGGCTTTTGTTTACCCCACTTCTATTTGGACTTTCACTGTTACTGCTTACATTTTTCCAAGTGCTAAGTTCCAAAACCTTGTTTTCAATGATGTATCTGGATGTCAGCATTAATAATCGGCGCGTTACCACACACCTCTTCGTTGCGCTTGCCAGAAAAGACATTCGTTGAGGGTGTTTTTGGTACTGCGGTGCCATTTGAACCTCATATATAGTCGCTTCATTATATATGATCATGTGTGCCATTGCACACACAGTCCACTTTGGCGTCCTCATCCTGGATTTGCAATCGCAAAAACGCAAGAGACTTACCGATTGTTATCGATTACATCAATTTGAGGTGACTAATAACTAAAAAGGAAAGAAAATGCTAAGAAAACCTTGGAAACACTTACCTGAAGGCTTGTTTCTCCCACGAATCCAGGATGGGGACGCCAAAGGTGAACTGTGTGTGCAATGACACACATGATCATATGAAATGAAGCGACTGTATGAAACCAGGCACGAAAAGGAGTAGGAGCGCAGAGACTGGAAGTCGAGGATTTGGATGATGGCGACCTTAAATGCAACCCCTTGTTTGCACCTGCACTGTTTCGTATTTGAGTTGTGAGCAACCTCCATATCTACCTTTCGAGATGTTCAGTTTTATCGAGCCCCTACCTTCGAAGAGTAGAAGAAGGAGTGAATCGCGTCTTTCCGAACAAAGCAAACACCTCGAACGTAGAACGCATTTTGTTAAAAGTGACTGCAGTCTGTTGTGCGCGCCCTCGCAAGACTCTGCCTAATGAAGACACAAAGAACCCAGAAACAATTTTGTGATCGCAAATCATCACGTATTCTTGCCCATTTACACTTAACCATTTTCAGGGCCTAGCGCTGAATTTGGGCGTGTTGGAAGGCCTACTACCTTCTATTGTGCATTCGCTTTCTGCAGATGTGGCTATCAAGACTTTCAAAGGCTTAGACGATCTCTTGGAAGACATCAAAAACTGCCCACCTGCACCCAGTAGACCACTCAATATTCCACTAGACGAATATAGCCCTGTCAGTGGCATAGTCCTCTCATACATTTTTCTACACTTATCAGTTCTAGCGATTCTGCTCACTCGTGCGCCGAATATATGAATTGGTCGATAAGCATCTCTTACATTACGCCGCTTCGGTTGTAAAGGCGGACGCTTGGCATCTGCTATCTGAGCGTCAACAAACGCGAATACAAGAAGGTGAGTTTTTTTTTTGCATATTGCAGTTCATCCAATAGCGGACCTTATAGCGGGTTTGTTCGTGGAGTTACGACAACCGAAGGCACCACCACCTCGTTTCTCCAGCCATAACCGAAGCTATAAACGATCGGCATCAGCGGGAGTGCAAGCCTCCTTCGAAGTCCCTCCAATAGAGCGATCCCACTCCATAGAGAGGTTGTGACTTCGAATTGACATTTCCCATCAATCAATGTGTTGGATCTAGAGGAAGACATCTGTCCACCATACAGCAGACGGCAAGCAGCTTAGAAGATGATATACAAAAAGCAGAACCAGTCGAAGATGATAATAAGGAGGAGGTCTCTGTGGAGAAAAAGCGTGAACGCAAGGATGAGCCAGTCGCAGATGCAAGAGAAGAAAAAGACTCAGGTGAGCTCCGTTGTCAGGGGTGGCACTGCCTACTGACCCGTAACGAGTTCAGCATAGCCGCAAAGTTGTCATCTTCTTATATATAAAGCTGAATGTCTGTTTGTCTGTCTGTATGTCTGTCTGTCTGTCTGTATGTCTGTGTGTACGTATGTTCCGAATAGAAAATTCCATTTCTGAACCGATCCGGACCAAACTTGGCACACATACACTACGGGCCCCGGCAGGTGTCATAGGCTACTTTTCGTCATCGATCAATATCGATTTTATCGATTTTTATCGATTTTTTTGCTGAGTCCACCTACGGGGCTGGGAGTTGGCACATGGGGGTAATCGAGCATGGGGATTCCGAATACAATATTAGTTTTCAGGATTATCGATTACTTTTATCGATTTTATCGATTTTTTTGCAAAGTTTGAGCTACGGGGCTGGGAGTTGGCACAGGGGGGGTAATCGAGCATGGTGATTCCGAATACAATATTGGTTTTCAGGATTATCGATTACTTTTATCGATTTTATCGATTTTTTGCAAAGTTTGAGCTAGGGGGCTGGGAGTTGGCACAGGGGGGTAATCGAGCATGGTGATTCCGAATACAATATTGGTTTTCAGGATTATCGATTACTTTTATCGATTTTATCGATTTTTTGCAAAGTTTGAGCTAGGGGGCTGGGAGTTGGCACAGGGGGGTAATCGAGCATGGTGATTCCGAATACAATATTGGTTTTCAGGATTATCGATTACTTTTATCGATTTTATCGATTTTTTGCAAAGTTTGAGCTAGGAGGCTGGGAGTTGGCACAGGGGGGTAATCGAGCATGCTGATCATCCCCAAGGGGGGTGATCAGCATGCTCGATTACACCCCTGTGCCAACTCCCAGCCCCCTAGCTCAAACTTTGCAAAAATCGATAAAATCGATAAAAGTAATGGACGATCCTGAAAACTAATATTGTGTTCGTAATCAGCATGCTCGATTACCCCCCTGTGCAAAATCCCAGCCTCGCATGTCAAAATTTACAAAAAATCGATAAAATCAATAAAAGTAATCGATAATTCTGAAAACTAATATTGTATTCGTAATCCCCATGCTCACTTCCCCCCTGTGCCAACTCCTAGCCCTGTAGGTGAACTCTGCAAAAAAATCGATAAAAATCGGTAAAATCGACATCGATCGATAACGAAAAGTGGACTGTGACACCCGCCGGGGCCCGAAGTGTATGTGTGCCAAGTTTGGTCCGGATACGGCGGAGCCGGGTAAGCCAGCTAGTATGATATATGATCAGGGTCAAGCAACATGTGTGGCACACGATCACTGGTTACGACCCCCCCCCCCCCTCTAATTGCTGTCTCAATAAGACCCCCCTAAACTGTGTACCTAAGATAGCATTACCCTAAAATCCGTACAATAAAACCGCCTATCAGATAAGTCCACCTATCAGATAAGTCCGCAGCAGACCTAGCAGATAAGTCTGCTTTCTTGACAACGAAAGTCGCCCTCGCGCCGCCAAGAGTCCTGCAGATAAGTCCGCTTCCTTATGCTTAGGATAGGCGAACTTATCTGCTGCGGACTTATCTAATAGAGGAAGGAGGACTTATTTGCAAGACTTTTGGCGGCGCAGAGGGCGATTTTTCATCGATTTTTCGTGTCAAAATTGCAGATAAGTCCGGACTTATTGTACGGATTTTAGGGTACTTGAAGGCCCTGTCAAACACAACGGGTGACATATCCGTAATCAGCACGTCAATTAACCCCTGCAGACAAAATTTGAGCGAATTTTGAAGTTTCAAGATGCTAGGCCACCTAAGTGAAATGGCCATTTTCCAACATGATTCGCTTTGTTTCAAAGGTGAATTAGCTATCAGTTCTTACACTCAAAACGAACACTACTCCTTCTTTGCCCAACTCAGAAATCCCGTTTCAAAAGACTTCGAAGTGGAAATAGAAGCCAACCAAAATCTCGTTTTTCCCATTTTTTGTGGCCGCCACAGCTTTTAAAGGCACCGTCCACCCAGATTCTCGACTTACATGTTTTTGTCGTGTCAGGACCTTCCCATGTCCCTGATTCCAAATATGAAGTCGAGAATCCGCGAAAACCCCGAGAATCCCCATTCCGGAGAACCCACAGGCCGGCTTCCAGAACGGTGATTGGATGAGCGCGCACAAATGGGCGAGCATGGATGGGGAGGGGCGGGCATGGATGGGGGGGGGGGGGTCCTCGTGCATCTTTGCTATTCCGAAGCGATTTTCTCGCTTCCGAAGCAGAATATTGCGCCTCGGCTTGGGCATCGGATTGATAGGGGGCCCTACTATCAAATGCTGCCAAAAGCTCAACACCCTCAACTTAGGGTGGACGGTGCCTTTAAAGGCAGTGGGTCGGCAGAATGAGACCCGTGGTAAAACAAGGTCACAGGGTAGGAGCCCCATAATGGAGCCTATGGGCCAAAGTTCAATCCTTCTCTGCCACTTCTAACCCCCGAAATTTCAAAGCGAAAGCAGCGCTCTCTCCTCTCCTCTCCGACCCCGCCCACCCCATGGACGGTGAACGCGAAGCTGGCCATGGCGAAGACGCAGAGTCGTTGCGGGACCCTTATGCTTATAGCATTGCGGCATGGCGCTCTAACTGCGGAAGTCACTCGTCCATGGGCTGGGCGGGGTCGGAGAGGAGAGGAGAGGAGAAAGCGCTACTTTCGCTTTGAAATTTCGAGGTTAGAAGTGGCAGAGAAAGATCGAACTTTGGCCCGTAGGTTACATTATGGGGGCTCCTACTCTGTAACCTTGTTTTGCCACGGGACTCATTCTGACGATCCACTGCCTTTAAGGGGTTGTGCCACACCCCCATTAACTATATCAAAAAAAACATTTTTAGGGAACAGTATTTGTATGAATCGATAGCCTAAATCTTGTAGATTCCACAGGAATGATTTGAGCTTGATTTGTCTTAGCTCTATATCCGGTGAAAGCACAGCCATCACAAGCAAAAAATGGGAAAAACGAGATTTTAGTTGGCTTCCATTTCCACAGTTTCGAGGTCTTTTGAAGCGGGATTTCTAAGGTGGGCAAAGAAGGAGTAGTGCTTCGTTTTGAGTGCAAAAACTGGTAGCTAATTCACCTTTGAAACAAAGCGAATCATGTTGGAACATGGCCATTTCACTTAGGTGGCCTAGCATCTTGAAACTTCAGAATTCGCTCAAACTTTGTCTGCAGGGGTTAAATGACATGCTAAATATGATTGTGATACTCGTTAAGCTTCGTAGCACATCTTTGGCATGCTAAGGTAGTCAATACCTCATTTGCTTTTTCGCATAATGCGGTTACCTGACAAACTGCTCACAAATACCATGTTATCACTAATATCAGAACACCCGACTACGACCCCCTCCCCTTTTGACTCCGCAATACGACCCCCCCTCCCCCAGATGTGGCCTGCCACACCCCACGCTTGACCCTGGATATGATGCCTTTATACGCACTGGCACAAACTAAGATGCGTATTGCGTCTAGTCTTGTAATACTATAAAGCACCACAACTTGTTAACTATACCATGTATACGATTTATGCACTGCCAAATCCCGTGTGGAATCGTGCTATCTACTCTGCGCATGGCCTAAGGTGGTATCATCATTGCATCTCAGGAAATCCTGTGACAACAAAGATCAAGCAACCGTCAGCGTCAAGGCAGGCGTCCAAAGAACGCAGCCCTGGTTCTCGGTCTGCATCCTATGAGAAACACGCAGCAGCGCTTCCCCCACCTCCGGAGCGACGAACATCTACGCGAGACGAATTGGCGCTGCTCACCGAGTCTACTAGCGTGAGTTTCTTTGTTTCTATGCCCAAGAACGGGGCTGCATGATGCTTATAAGGGAAGGAAAATTGGTCGAAGTGGCTTTTCAAGATGAAGAAATGTACACTATCTTTTGAAGCTTGGAACTGATTCCATATCTGCCTTTACTATCTGGTGTGGGCTCCTGGGCGAAGAGTTATGAAGGTTTTTGTGGGTAAAAATTTGAATGCAAAATTAGTGTAAAATTAGTCGTAGCCTTTTCTTAACGTTCAAATGAGGCAGCAGCGAGTTGGCATTTTTGAACCAAGAATATTCATTGCACCGAGTTTCCCGACTATCAGTTAAACCCTAGAGAAAATGTTACGAGCAACTTTACACTTGCTTTTGACTTTTTACTCACAAAAACCTTCCTAACTCCAGCCCAGAAACCCGCAGTAGATAGCGAAGACAGATTTGGAATCAGTATTCCAAGCACTATGAGACAGTTTACATCTCATCCTAAAAGGTCACTTTGACCAAACTTTCTTCCCTTGTTAACGCTATGTAGATATTGTATAGAGCGCATCTAACCAAGCTGAATCTCCACGTACTAGATCTATGCGACCAAATGATTCAAGGAAATCATCATTGAAGAAAAAATCTGAAACTGAGGAAGTGAGTGCAGGTTTTTTCTTCTAACTCAATAAGCTAAGCATACGTATTGAGGGGAGACTGGAACGCCAAGGAACTCATACGATCATGAACGTCGATCGCGGAAAAGCTGCTGAACTTCCCGGACCGGGGCCTTCTCCGACGAAGGTACCGTAGAACATCGGTACAACACGCGATGCTGCATATTAATTTCAGAAAGTGGAAAAACCAAAATCCGTTGTAAAGCCAATGGTGAAAGATCCTCCATTAGCAAGTGCAGCCCAGCGAACAACTGCTAGGTCGGTTCCAGTGAGATCTTCAAGAGAGGTAAGTGCGTTTGAACTTGTCTGTTGGTTAAATGTAGTATTTATGCGCTAGTTTCTTCCTTTTCTTTCTATATCGCTTTTTAAGGTGAGATCGACATTTACATCGAAGTCATCAATTCCTAAAAGTGTGAGCACGACTCCAACAAGAATGGGCATCACGCGGCCACCGGTACGAACTGCAGAATCGAAATCGAAGGCAACTCTAACGAGGACGGGACGGAGTCCAAGACCAGCTCGCAAGGCCACAAATTCAATTGAGAAGTGACCATTCTCATGCACTTTCAACCTTGTTTTAATGCTTAAGCTCACCGGTCCCAGCGATTCATATTTTCTTTCACTCATTTCCTTGGGAATCATTATCAATGCATTTGGCTATTAGAACGTCAAATATCTACCAAGTAGTGGCAGATACGGCTCTTCATACAATTATGTTTTTCGATATTTCTACCAAGAGCAAACTGTATTCGCATGTGCAATACCTAGATCGTGGGAATCTCCTACTCACTATGTACGACAGCTTTCCAAATTGTATCTCTTCCGCTACCTACTGCTTATTGCTTGTATGTACTCGCAAATTTGTAAGGGAAACTGCCTCAGAATGTTGTTTCACAAATGTGGAGGTGATTTTTCCTAAAAGGGGATTAGAAATATGTCGTTGTCGATTCGTACATGTTACACGTATGGGTATTGCGTCTCAGCATTTTTTTCTTTGCGTCTTAGTGCGTTTGGATTACAGATCTCTTCCATGGCGTATGTATAAAACTGCACTATTGTGAAATATGTCTTCAGAAAAGAATCACTGATAAGAATCACAAAAACGCAACAGCTTCTATCTCAAAATCGGATATGACTGTAACTGCCAGGCACAGTCATGCAAGTGTCAGTCTTTTTTTCTAGTACTGCGACTACTATCCACCTGCAGCACGCTCAGGCGGCACAATATTTTGCTCACCCGTTAAATATTATAGGGAATTTGCGACCACCTCAAGCATTGTGGGGAAACGATGACACCGGATGACCGCATTATGGGCATCTATGCCCCGGGCATACCTCAAGCGATTCGCCGTCAGGCGATATGGCAATAATTCAGCTGTTTATAAACTTATCGTAAGCGCGGAAAGGTAGAGGTAGTTACGACCCGAATATAATGCGGCGGATGGAGGTGAGGAAGGGTGAAGTCAAAAGTTGCCCTTTCGTTATACTGAGTTGTTCACTTCTCAAATTCTTCGAAAGTTTCCACGCTATCAGTAGGATATGCGCGGAATACCTTTACATGTAGTTAGAAAGAAAAATTAGGACTTCAAGATCTGAACTGTTCACCTCTTCGTATATGTTCATGTTGGAATGTGCAGTCTATTGCCAGACATCCACGAAGAAAGATTCGGGAACGGGTTCGTCGCATCAGGCATCACATTTGAACTTCGCAGGTCTTCGAAAATCAGGAAGAAGGCCCAAGTGCTCCTAAATTAGAGGGTTCGGCCTTCGTTCCTTCTAACTGGCGTTGAAAAATGAGAAGTGGCATAGATGGATCCTAACCTTCATGCATTGCAGTATTAAGGATCTCGCGAACTTTCCCGCTTCGTATGGTCGTCCACTCATCACTGATTTCTCTTTTTGAGTATCCGTGAATAGGAGGCACACTTCAAAGTCTCGGTTGCCTACCTGATAGTTGAAAAACATGGCAGAAATCTGATAATTTTGAAACTTTTGAGATGGAAAGAGATTTACGAGCATGCCATTTCCAGAAATACTTCACCTATAATGAGCAAAAGCCAGTTTCTCAAATCTAACATGGCTTCTATAGAAGCGAAGAGAGTGACAAATAAAAGCTGAAACAAAACCAACCTGAGACCGGTCATCGATATCAGCGGATCCGATGATTACATATTCGTCGTCAACAATAAGCAGTTTGCAATGGATATAAATACAAACATCTGAATTGTCATATTGCACCAAAATCTTGGTTCCATATCGTGAGATCTCTAAGATAGATAACTCATCAATTTTCCACAAAGCATATCGTAAGTTCTTAATGAACAAACAGAACTTACTCATGCGGAGTGGGACGACCTAAACAGCATAACTTTAGCATATCCTAAAAAAAATATTAGGGAGGCCATTTCAGTATTCCACAAAAGCTATAAGAAAGAGATTATCGATCTCAAATTAGTAATCACTAATCATAACCGAACACTCTAACTCGAAAAAATTCTACGGTTACTTTCTTGCATGATTTTTATTTGCACCAAAAATTAGACGTCAAACCAACCGATTTCAATTGTTCAAATAGGGGGTTTGGCCCACGACTAAGCGACTTAAATGTCCAATGCAAAACTGCTTGAAGAGCAGAACCTCCAGGAGCACCAACGTTTCCTTCGAAGCCAGGCATGGGTGGGAGCAAAATGTACACTTTAAAGGGTTCTTTATCCCTGTAAAGTTACATAGAAAATTGTTGCATAAGATATTCACATGACAACACCTACTTATGAGCCCGTTTGACACGATAGCAGATCACCTTACAGATTTCGTTGAACACTTCATTTGAATCAACCACTGAGACAAAAAACAGATTTTCATTGTAAATATAATGCTAAAATATCAAGAACAAATATTTTTGTGCGACAAAATCACTAAGAAAGATATGCCATTCGCATAGAATCTTCGGTTTGATTTATCAAACCAGACCAATTTGATAAGGACCGTAGCACCTGGAAAACGCAACGAAAACATTCAGTTTATTCCTTGAAAATAAAAATGAAGCAATAAGCATTAGCACATCACATGACAGAACATTCTCAAATCTATTTTCAGAACTGGTTGGAGAGAAATTTCGAAAATTGACTTCAACCCTCTCAAAAGCTACCATCGCGATGACAGCCTTGGGGAAAAAAACGTAGGCAGATGAGCGACAGAAGAAAAACAGCAAACGGTAAGGATGAAAATCAAAATGGATTCGAGAGAAAAGATTGCTTGTACACACCTGGCAGTGGTGTACCGAAGGGGGGCGGGGCGCCCCCCCCCCCCGAGAACGGGTCGCGAAATTTTTGAAAGTTACATGAGTTATAAAAATGTGCAAGTGACTTCTTTATTATTGTAAACAAAAAATAATTTTTAAAATTTTTTAAAAATTCAAATTAGCCTTGTAAAAAAGTTTTTTTCGGGGGGGGGGGGGGTCGGGAGCCCGAAAAAAATTTTGGGAAGCCCCCCTAAAATTTTTTCGGAGTGCGTGGCTGACGTCACGCACCTTCGTTTGAAAAAAATTTTTGCCGCCCCCCCCCCCCCGAGCCGAAATCCTGGGTACGCCACTGACACCTGGATATTTACGCCATAGCTATAGTCAGGATTTCTAAATACTCGTGGTACTTTCAGGTTCTCATGGCTTTTCGGGGAGCAAATAAGGGTAATTAGTGTCATCCTGGAATGATGCTGGTGAAACAAACAGACATAAAAAAATGAGTTGGTCTGCCTACCTTGCATTTTTCCGTTTTAGTTGCATTCCACCGCTGTATGAAATGCCTGGCAACATCCCTAGCTGCATCGCCAAAGGTTACAGAATAAATATCGTGCCAGGGCATTCGTGGAGTTGTTCCTCCGTCAATGAAGTCTATGATACATATAATAGCAGAGGCAGAAATTGTTAGCTGATTTACGTGGAAGGGTAAATCGACACCAATGAAATCTTTGCGAATGTAGTTGACATAGTCCTTGCCTATCCATAGCTTAAAACTGCCATCTACGGTATCTTCTGTGTCCATCTCTTTCAGACGAAGGAAGTCTCGTTCGTAGCCTGCCATGACTTCATCAGAATTCAGCACCTGAAAAGCTCATTTCACGGAAAACCTGATCCAATATATTTGAGATTGCGACTCTGACGTAAAGAAGACCTTCCAAAAACTCAACAGCTAACGAATTGCCTGTTTCCACTTCCGCTTTGCTCGATTACTTCTCCAGTTCTCTACAGCTCGAGTCAATCTGCTTTCTTTTCTTTTCATAGGCGGGGTTTGCAAGCGATGCTTCTCCTATTTTGTAAACTGTGGTAATCAGCAGCAAACAGACGAATGAAAATGCTAGCTTCTCCACGTAAAGAATTGACGCGTTCCATAGTTTTCCCCAGTTTCAAGGATTACTGTACTCAGCTAACTCATCACCTAAGTCCGGACATTCGGCCGGATGAACAAGACGTTGGGAGAGGATGAAAAGTTTTATAGAAGCAATTGGAGCATAGCACACATAAGCGAATAGGCAAGCGACTACATGTGATAAGGTAAAACTATCTACTAGCTAAGCTGCATGGCATCGAGAGTATCCTGGTGGTCGCTCCTCCTTCGAGTCGAGTCGTCGTAATTCTTCGGCGGCGGCTCTGTTGTGGGCCGTCGCTTTTCCTACACACGGCTCCAATCTCAACGTACTCCTTGTACTTTTCAGCAGCTATCTGGCAATCCAACCCCATCTTTGTCGCTTTCTCGAACATGGACACTGCCGGTTCCCCTTTATCGAGCATGTCGAGAGGAACTCTACGAGTAGCGGATGATGCAGCTCTACGAACTTGCTGAAAAAAATTCCTATTCTATGCATGTAATGATCAAAACCAAGTTCAGAAGGAAAAGGACAAACTTTTTTGCCTTCGCATCCTCAACCACAGTCAGGAAACTTGGCTTTTTTCCAGAAACTGCCGCAATCCTAGAGCCAGTATCTGTCGGGGAAGGGAAGGCCTCGGCGAAGGTGAAGGCCTATCGCTGGCATACGATGGTAAACTTCGAGGAGAATCCGCAGAGACAGAACGAGTTCCTAAAATTGTAAAAGAAATCAAAACGTCATACAACGAATGGACAGAGATGGAATATGAACTCAGAAAATTGGACAAGGTATACACATCCCATGCTTATCCACTTCATGCGCTTCAAAAAACGGGGACAGATTTATCATTTGGCTTATTTTGAGTATGTCACACTTTTGACTCGCGTACGATGTTCTATTGGACCCTACCGGATAAAGTCGATAAATATGGTCTATGCCAGAAAAATTCAAACTCGGATTTTCAGAAACTCAGCTTGGTAGCACAAACCAGAAACAAGTAAGAGCCACAAAAATTCAAACCCGGAACCTATGAGACCCACAAAAATTCAAACATGGAACTTTTAAAGGCAGTGGCTCGGCAAATCTTAACTTCGTCAAATTTTTCGCTTACCTGGGGTTTTTTAATGCGCTGATCCCGATCCACTTTAGAGAGCTTGAAAACGGCGAAAACAAGCGTTTTTCAATGCCCTTCCCTTTGAAGTTGGACGAGTGGAGCAAGGCTGACGACGCTGAATCGTTGCGGGACCCAACGGTTATAGCATTGCGGCGGGCAGCCTCCAATGGTGGGAAGGAATTTGACTCGTCCCGGCGCGTGTACGATTGGCTTGCGCGTGTAAGCTTGAGAGCAATTTTCTCTGCAGGGAAGGCATGCTTTGCAACCGGGATTGCACCGTTTTCATATTTGGGCGATGAGGAACCTACCGCGTTAAAATCCTGAGTTGTTAAGTTTTGCCGATCCTCTGCCTTCAAGTACAGCTCAACTTGGCAGAACAAACCAGGAAAACAAGGTAACTCACCTTTTTTGCTAACCTTCAGCATAACTCCGCTCGTATCCACATCAGCAAGCACCTACAATGCCACATTATGAAACAAAAAGTGACAAGAACACAAAGATGTACTACTGCAACATAGGTATAATGCCAGTGGGAGACAGGAAAGAAAGCGCAGAATCGACGACACGCTCTGAATTGATAACCCAATCACACTAAAAGGCATCTCCAAATACGTGCTAAAAGAAAAAGGAAACAGCGAAAAACTGTCCCAAGCAACACCAAAATATCGCATGTGCGCATTCATTGCGCATTTATTCTAGGACGAGAAGTTTCCCTTGCGTACCTCTGGATAGCGGCGAACATCGATTCTGTGGTTGTTCCACTTCGACGACGTTCATCATCGCCGGACGCGTCGATCACTTCCTTGATTGCTTCCTTGTCGAATGCGGCGGTCGCTTCTTCTTAAACAAAGTTTGATCAGAAAGTATAATCAACACCAAGCGCTCACAATCAAGCTGAAGATAATCTTACCACGATAGGGGTTGCCTCGGAGTTGCTTAAATTTTGTCGTTTCAAAATCAAGGAACAGTGCAGTGTCAAAAATCTTGGAAATTTGAGACTGATGAGATATAGAAACTACGGCCCGTAGTAAACCTCCGTCAGGGCATGTCCCCTGAGGCGGACCGGAGTCGATCTCTTGGCACCTCAGTCCAGCATACGGCGAGCTATCGATCTGGGTGCTGATCGTTCTGCAGACATGACAATTCTCAAGCCTAGAAACAGCAGCAGTTTTGTACGGGCATGGCCAAATGGATAAGGATTGCGATGAAACATAGGCGATCATGGCTCGAGATCGCTTAGCGGAGTCATTTTTGCTGCATCGGCGCGCAATCATCGATAGGGATCACTTAAATAAAAAAATCGATGGTGACCGCTATCAAGAGACTCGCCTAGCAAATAAATGGAGAGAACAATTCATAGTTATTTAGCGCGAATTTTCATTGAAAAAAAAAACACATTTTTGAACAGAAAGACAACGAGACAAACAAATAAATATTCATTCATTGCAGCATTCAAAAAAATAAGGCAAATCCCGCGAAAAAGATTAAAAAACTTGAATTTCCGTTTTCCTGCCTGCGAACAGCTGATCATCGATTCTTTTCCTCCGTAGGACCCCAAATATGTGCAATTTCGCGCACTCTCGTCTGCATTATTTGGCGTCTTGAGATGTATTGTAAGTTACTCAGGAGCAACTTACGAAGATTTTCTCTGCGTTTCCTTTTTAACACACTATTTCTGGACATCATCGCTCATATCATCTCCCATGACCCGGCAGGGGAGATCATCTCCCTGCCGAACTTCACCTGAGGCTCACCTCTCAGGTGACGTTGCATCCCTATAGCATGGGGAAATGGGTGGTCGTCATTTTACTGACAGAACCTCACATGAAGGTCTCAGGGGAGATTATCTCCAATGACCGAGCTTTACTACGGGCCTACATCTAACCAACCTCAGGTTGTTGGTCACTTTCTTCGTCCTCTTGTTCCACCCTGAAGTACCACGTGAATTTTGTCCAGTATCAGTTTCATTTAAAGTTCCCAGAATCACCCCCTATCTTCAAAAGTCAATGAATATTTGGTGTAAGGATCAGCGGTTTCTCGGAGACGTGCAAATGCTGCTGCTCCACGACGTGGCGTTTACAGAACTGACTTTTCCGGCGCACCCCTGCAGTACAATAGTGGATAAAGTACCAAAAATAGCTGCTAAAAAGTCGTACGCATTGCTTCTTTTTTTCTTATAATCGTGATCAGCATGTCAAATAACCCCCCTACACGAAGTTTCAGCGGAAGGCGTGATTTTCACCCCTTACCGTATACCAACAGTAACCCCGGAATGAGGAGCTACCGTAACGAATGAATATCGTAGTCGTGTTCAGCATGTCAATTAACCCCCCTGCACCAACTTTCAGAGAATTTTGTGATTTTGACCCCCTACGTATACCCACCGTAACCCTGGAAAATGGCGCCATCGCACGGAATCGATATGATATTCGGCATCAGCGGATCGAATAACCCCCCTATATCGAGTTTGAGCGAAATCCGAGATTTTAAATTTTTGGGGTCGGTATACTGGAATAGCGCCGAAAAAGTCTTCTGTTGATTTGTGTCTGAGGCGCACATTTGAAAATAGTGCAATCATAATATGTGGGGAACTGGCGTGATAATCACTACAACTCTCAAGTTCTATGCTCATACAGGCAGTGTGATGTAGAACCAAAGTTAAGACAATCCTTACTCATTAAGCACTTCTCGAACAATCAAAAAAATCTATAATAGACCATTCTGCAGCTAAGCTGCCCTTACTAAGATATGCTAGCATGAGTTAAAGCAGAGAAAAACAATATAGCGCAAGTACCTATTTACGTTCTTCGAGGAATTGCTACATTAGAGCGGCAAGACCTTGAAAAGGGTGTGGTGCAGAAGGCGACAATCCCCATTTTTGTGCCTATTAGAATCTCTGGTGTCAAAGTGACACGGCGGGGGACTACGGGGATGGGGGTGGGGACAGATACATTACTCGATGCCACAAGTAGAAATCCGTGAAAGTATTGAGACGGGTGATACACTGCCTCCATTTTGCGGCGATTGTCGCCTTCCGCGTCCCCCCCCCCCTTGAAAATGTGCGCCTGGCGCGTATTTACGAGACGGAGCAAAGAATCGCAAACGGAGCGCATTAACATATGCGCCGATCCGCTGCCGCTGCGCCTATGCATTACTTTTGATTTATTCTATGACAACCTTTGCAGCTATACAACTTCGAAAGACTTATTTGCAAGGTGTACAGGTTCCTCTTCAAAACCTTTTTAGAATGAGCAAGACGCGAGTTTTGATCCTGCAATGCAAAGCGCAAAGCTATCTCGGTATGCGCAGAACTGATGCGAGCAGAGCCTCTTTTCGTGAGAGTATTCGCTTTCTTTCATTAGGCTCTCAAGAAGTCTTATTCTCGGTAAATGAGATTCATGGCTGCTTTTTCTAGAATGAACAATTTGTGAATTTTGTCCAGTTCCCAGTCAACTCGACAACTGAGGTCAAGTAACAGAAAATGTTGAAAACGGTGTCCTTTTATATTCTCGAGAAATATCTTATCCAACTTTATATTCTATTGATTTCTAATTCCACCACCAACCAGAAGTTGTAGATACTAAGCAATTAGAAGCATATTGGCTAATTCACCGCGTTTCTTTGAAGCTCGGAAATTCGCTATTAGAGCCGCTCTCTTTCAGCGAGCATTTCGCATGTAAGGGTTTCAGAAGTGTCTCGCTAGGACTCACTTTAGGGTTTAATCACGAAGCAGATGCAGTAGCGAAGTTCATGGTTTTGTTGATTTTCATTACTCAGTACTGAGAACGATTAATCATATACACGCAAACAATTGAAAATATCTTAATGGTGTAAGTGAGATCCGACGAGGTTAAAATAATAATATCTTCTGTGAAAGCTATAGGTTTGTACAGACAGCTCAGGAGTCTTTCGTCTTTAGAAGCTGGGACTCCGCAATGTTTTGGAGACGAGTTTTCGGAAAATTCTGGAAAAACTTTTTTGATATCGACAAATATCAGTGCATCATACCTGGTAGTGAGAGTTCGCTCGATAGAATACCGAAAAAAGGAAGGACATGACGAATCCCGACATCATAAAGCCAGAGATGTGATTGGGAGAGAATATCGAAAGTGCCCAGTGTCCGAGGATGTTGAGGATAAAAATAAGGACTTGATTCTAAAGTCAATTATTGAACACAGATCATGATTTAACTAGCGAACTCACCACTAAACGACTTCCTAAATAGTGGATTTGCACTGATGGTGACATGTGACGAATAAGTAAAGAGCAGAGAGCAGGCAACAAACTGAGACATCCAAACATTCGGCACCACATTATGTGGTGAGAGTCCAAAGCATGTTCAGTGGAGGTCTAAAATCAAGCATTAACAAAGGCCATGTTGTTTATGTTTATATGTTTATATGTAGCGCACATGACAGGTACAAAAATGACCTTCGCAGCAAATCAGTACTCTGTCGCTTTCTGCTACTTCTGTTCTACGCCTCTGACCTGCGGCACCCAAGAACTAGCCTGTTGGCTACATACAGGGGTTTTCAATCTGAGCGTCACGGTCGACGTGGTTCACCCCCTCGAGAGCCGCGTCGCTTGGGTCTCTCACGTGGTACACTACCGCACCGATAACGCGAAGGCCTTAGCGGATGCGGCATTGTGCCACGTGAGAGGCCCATGCGAGGCGGCTCGCAAGGACCTGAGCCACGTCGACCGTGACACTCAGATTGAAAGCCCCTGTACAAGATGTTGACCGCAAGGCCAGCAGTCAACACGTTGTTGCTACAGGGGCTTTCAATCTGAATGTCACGGTCGACGTGGTTCACGTCCTCGCGAGCCGCCTCGCTTGGGTCTCTCACGTGGTACACTACCGTATCCGCTAAGTACTTCGCGGTATTAAACCACGTGAAAGATCCAAGCGAGGCGGCTCTCGAGGACCCAAACCACGTCGGTCGTGACACTCATTGAAAGCCCCTGTACCCTGTTGTAGCTTGTTGCCAAAAATGTTGACCATGCGTGCCGCAGAGCAGAGACGCAGAGCGGGAGAAGTAGCTGTAGTGGACGATATCTCCAGGTGCGCAAACCATGCCGTGCGTGCTCTGAACGCAACTTGAGCCAAGCGCATCGCTGCGCGTGCGCCTCGCGAAGCGGTCGTTTTGGTATATAGTTTGCCCCAAGTTGCGCGCTCGCAGCGCTAAGGGTTTGCGCTGCATACGCGTGCTGTCGCAGAGAGCGAAGAGATTGAGGAGAGAGCAGACTAGCTAGCCCTGGACCTGACGCAATTCTCGCGACCAGGGTCTAGCGTGTCGATGCGATCCTAGACCCTCTTCTACGACCCCCCCCCTGAAGGTATCTATCCGTACGACCCCCCTCCTCACCTACCCACCCCCCCCCCCTCCCACCTACCCCTCCCCCACTTTTGTGGTAACCTGCATAAATGAATGTCAATCTCAAAAGATGCCTGCCAATGGGCCTCAATCAAAATTATAGATCAAAAATAGATGACTACTTGGGAAATAATGCAAGTAATGCTTCGCCACTCAAAAACCAACTCATAAATAATTCTGCGTAGATTGGGTAAGTAGTAAAATTCCACAAGATTTGGCTATGCTTATTGTGGTTGGGAAAACATAGCTTTATTTTATACAAATGATTGGCGGTCACCGTCTTTGAAGATATGGGATTTTGTCGAGTGTGTGAGACTTCAGTGGGGCTTCGGAAGTAGAGTTTCTGAGCCCAGAAGTACGTGCAACATCTCTGGCACGCATACACACCTTCAATAACGTTTGGGTTTCTGTAAGTTTTTTTTTGATTTCAAACATACTTCTGGCCAGCAAGTTTGGTCCCCGTACGCGACGCCATTTTTTGTGGGGAGAAAAAACGATATCTTTGAAGCGTAAAATATGTTTTTGACTGAAAGGCTTACTTTCCATCTTTTGCACAGATCTTTGTGCGAAAAAAAAAACTATTTTAGCGCCATCTAGAACGATGTCAAAAACGTGCATGAGTACGGTACTTTGAAAACTCGTAAATAAAGGCAGGCAAAGACTGAAAGGCTGCAATCGACAGGCTTTGTAGTGCCCATTCTATCCATGGAAAAAGTTTCAGCCATTGAGGTGCAGTAAGCTCGAAAAAAAATCTAAATGCGACACTCGCAAATTTAGATGCGATCCTAAGAAGTAAAAAGTGGGATTTTTGAGCTTGAAATTTTGCATCTCATCGGAGAAGTTATAAAACAGCTTGAGATTCTTTTGATAAAAAGAAGAGGAATGGCCTTGGAATTCAGCAAGTTTGCAGCTAACAAGCTTCAATAGCTCCGGAGAAATTCAGATGAGGCGCAGATACGACCCCCATTTTCTCATTTTTTGCTACCATACATAAAATCATAAGAAAATCCACAGTTGACAAAATAACACCAAATTTCGCACTGATGTAGCAGAGCATATCCAAAGTACAGATAAGTTATATGGGCCCGTGAAAAACATTACAAAAAGATTTAGAGATTCATGATGGTCACAGCTGGTAAAGATATGGGATTTTGTCGAGTGTGTGAGACTTCAGGAAGGCTCCAGAAGCAAGATTTCTAGGGCAATCGGTACATTTAGCATTTTTATCAAATCATACATCCTTCAAAAGTGTATTGAGCTCTTGTAAATGTTTGAAAATTTCACAGATTTTTTATCTTTTTTATTCTGATTTCCACTTTTTTATAGATTTATTGTAAAGGACATAACTAATTATCTATTCCTTGATTCCTTTTTGAACTTAGGGTATTTCAGCCTAACTACCTCCTCTTACGACCCCCCCCCCCCACCTTAGGTCCCCTTTTTACGACACCCCGTTGCGATAGTCGCATCACAAGCTTGACCCTGCTCGCGACTCGGAATCCCGCCATACCAATTTTGGCCTGGTTGGGATTGGGGCAGACTGTACTGTGAATGTCAGAGCTGCTCTATTTTCCATTTTTCTCTAGCTTCTCTGTCCTCACCTCAATAGTCGCACAGTCGATGAATTCTGTACTGGAACAAGTCGGGGTCGCGCCAATGCGCGTCAAATGCCGTCCTCAATTCAAGCTTGCAAACGTTTTTTCGATGCTTTTCTTGTTGTCACGCTACTGCTTGCATTTTGGCGATGTGCATGTTTAGATGTGATAATTTTGGTGTCGTTGGCAATGTTTCTTACTTCTATCCTCGTTTATTTAACCTAGAGAAACCCTCAGCTCTACACGCAAGCACACATGGTTTTTTTCTGTTTTTCTTGTTGTTAGCTATGTAAGAGTTGACAATTTTGTGGTTGTTGAGCGATTTCATATACGACTTCTCGATTCATCAACTCTTTCAAAGTAAGCTTGGAGGAACGATGCAGATGGGTAGCGGATTACATGAGATTCACTAAAGCAACAGTTCAGCACATGTCAACTAATAAAAAAGATTGTTCAAACAAAACTTACTAATTTTCATGGTATCTCCAAACTTAGCTCAGCAACATTGAAATCGTTGAACCTGACGAAGTACATCTTTGAAACGCAAGCAGTATCAATTGAGAACAGGAACGTCAGAAAACATGTGCGAGCTTGAATTGACGTCGGCTCTGCCGCGCGCTGCCGCGACCGGCCTGCTCCAATTCGGATTCGAATTTATCCATTGTGCGAGGGTGGGGTGAATGATTAGTATAATCCAATCTTTGCAGTCAGGCAGGTTTAAACCACGCCGGTACCCGTCCGAACTCGCAGGAAGTTGCCAGATGAGGGAAGAGATATAGTAAGTTTCAACTCAGCTTAGGCGGAAATTGGATTGGCGGGAGTCCGCTTCGCAATAATTCGCGCCATTTTGCAGTCTGCGCCTCTTCATCCTAATCTATCTCGCTGAGCCAGTGGCGGTGCGCACGCGCTGCTCCACTTCGAATGTTTCGCCTAATTCGGGTTGCAAAGACTGTATGCCTGGACATAGGCATTTCAAAGCATGCATGGAATACCGAGCGCGTTATGAAAGTCTATATATCAACCACAAGTTCGACGGCATATCCTTATCTTCTCTCATTTGGCAGGTTCTGATGGGTTCAGACGGGTACCGGCACCGTCTACACCCTTCCTCAATGACCCCCCGATATAAGGTTCGCAAACGGCTTGGGCGTGTTTGTCTCTGAGACTAATGACGCTGCTACAAATATGCACAGCCATGCCCGTACGGCAGCATATTGTCCTCCACCCAGTCAAGCTGCGGCTTTCTTATATATAAAGCTGAATGTGTGTTTGTATGTATGTATGTCTGTACGTATGTGCGGAATAGAAATTTTTATTTCTGAACCGATTTGGACCAAACTTGGCACACATACACTTCGGGGCCGGGCGGGTGTCATAGGCTACTTTTCGTCACCGATCGATATCGATTTTACCGATTTTCATCGACTTTTTTGCAGAGTTCACCTGCGGGCTGAGAGTTGGCACAGGGGGTAAGTGAGCATGGCAATTCCGAAAAGGTATTAGTTTTCAGAATTATCGACTACTTATATCGATTTTATCGATTTTTTGCAAAGTTTGAGCTACAGGGCTGGGTGTTGGCACAGGAGGGGGGAGGGGGTAATCGAGCATGCTGATTTCGATAACAACACAGGGAACGGGAAATGAAGTGTAGAAGTGGGCACAGGGAAAGGCTGTACAGGGATAGGGAAGGAACCTTTATTACAGTGTTTTGACAGGGCCGAGCGGAGCCGGGTAAGCAGGCTAGTTACCTATAAATGAGGTAGATCTCTGCGTGCAAGGCGCAATGATTCTTCCCGAAGTCCTGGAATTAGTTGAGTCAAGACGGAAATGGTTCAACAATCGCAACACCTTCGGTGAGCGCGCTTGGTTGGTTCAACTTCAAAGCACGCTTTCAGGTTCTGACACCATAATAAGAGGTGGGACTGAAGCTACCTTGAGAGTCTACTTAACACCACCAAGATCTGACAAGTGTCCGTTTTGCTGAACTATTGTCTTTAAGTAAAATACTGGAAAGACTGACTATAAGCTTGAGAATGTGTTGTGGAAAGGCGAAATGTACGAGGGCAGTGAGAAGACACAGCCCTGCATCGATGTAGAATGCGTTCTCCAAGTAGAAGGACCCCTTCCCCTGCAATAAATCTTTGCCAGGAAACGATAGATAACTTAGATTGTTATCTACTGCAGTAGCTGCAGGAGGGCTAGTCACAAACAATGAAGAATACCTCCAACCACAAAGTCGTCCTTTTGCACATTTGGTCAATTTCCTCTTGCTTGGTCCTTCTGCTAGAGAAAAGCGTCACTACTTCATTCAGTAACCAAGCACCATCTGTGAGAAGAGCGCAGAGGATGAACTATACAAGATTCAAATCTCGAGGTTCTGAGGTAAGTGAATGAAAAATGAAACTGACATGATCCGACATAAGCAAGCCACGAGTGGATTTCTCAGTAAGATGCCAAGCAGTGAGCAATCTTGTAAACAGGGACATAAAGGCAGTGAATGCCCTTGCAAACACAAATGGTTTCTGATGGGGCAGGCCTGCTGGCGATAGTAGGAAATACGCAAGGCCAAGCTTAAAATTCTATCTCGAAATTGCAGATATAGAAAAAAACCAAACGTACGTGAAAGGGTGCAGAGTATGATTGCAAAAAAGCATGGAGAGTGTCGAAGGTTCCTTGGATCTGAGAGAATCATAACAATGCTTTGCTTATCTGATTATTGCACCACTTACCGCAACAGAATTATATCGAGCAGGTACAAGCAAGAGTGATAAGCCAACGAGCAAGTGGCCCACGCCAGCGGCGTTTCGGAAGGATGGAAGCTTGTTTGGGAAAAGCGAAGCTAGCGCCGATGCAAGAAAGCATGCACATTGTAGCACATGGACGATTAGCCACATCAAACTGCAAAAATCCCGCATACTAAACTAGAAAACCATGTGCGCTAGTTACTACAGCATAAGAGCTCGAAATTTCAAATTGTTCGAATTCCATTGCATTTTTTTATTGCTCTAGGACACTTGAGCTCTTCAAAAAACGAGCTTACGGTTTCGATCTTGCGATGGTTGAGTAAATGCCATTTCGAAAAAATGTAGGTGAATCTGCACCACTGCCAAAAAGCACGATTGATATAAAACCTTGAGATTAACATTTGCAACTCAGTAAAAATCAAATTATTAAGAAAACAAAGAACAAGATCACATAGCTGCTGCAAACTGAGATTTTCGATGTGAGAGGAACATAAGGAGCTAGCGACAGATGTTGCGCAGAATCACCCTAACAGTCGACGTCGCGCATACGGTGGCCGCAAAACAAGAGCGCTGAGAGAAGAGTCGCGAGGGGCTCGCTAGGTGACAGCGAGGCGAGTCTGGGTACTCAAATCCATGATGCGATCAATACGAGGGCTTGTTTGCAGGAATTGTGCAAGCCACTGAACCCTCGAAGGCTACCTTCTGCCTGGGTCATGCCTGGGATCAAGTCTGGCTCCCTAAAAAGGAGGACACCGTCAGCGGACATTTAGGCTACGAAGTACATGCGCATGCGGTTGTTTGTGCATGGTGAAAATGACTAGTTGGGCGTCAACATCCTGCTTGAGGGAAGGCAGTTATCAACAACCCCGAGGAGCGCTGGAGATGTCCGCACTTCACTTCAAAGAGCTTTCAAGGTCATCGAGTTCATTCACCCGTATCTATAGTTACGAATGGCTGTGAAGAGCTCCATGACCTACAAACTGTGCTTCCGCGCGGGGCTGCTGTCGATAGCGCGCACACTCCATAACACCTGTCTCATAAGATTACATATAGACTGTGCATGACGTAAACGCAATATCTTTGGTTGCAAATGCGGCTTTATTAGCCGCAAAGCGCATGAGGCGCGGGATTTACAACGATGAAGATACGCGCGCGTGCCACGTTTGCACCCGTTCAGCTAATTCTGCTTCTGCGTCTTCGTTCTGCAGTAGCCAATTGAGCAAGCATCGAAATTTTAAATTAAATGCTCGAATAATAGTTATGTAAGAGTCTGAACTTGTAATAGGAGAAGAACGATTAACTACCCTTTGATTCAACTGGCTTGGCGGCTGGGAAGCGGGGCTTTATGACCTAGTTAAGGCTAGATAATGATCAGAGAGCACGCACGCGAGAGAGATGATGCAGACTGCAGGCGCAAGCGGCCTCAATTAGGTCACAAAGCCCCGCCTTCCAGCCGCCAAGCCAGTTGAAGAGATCTGGACACTCAACAAGTAATATTCCGATTAGATTTAGTAGTAGCGGTAGGGTAATGTCAATGATCTGAACACTACCCTGACTCCGTTCGTAGATGGCAGTCGTTAGCAAGGGAACTATGGAAAGATGACAGGGTTACAAGTCATTTTTCATGGATCTTCTCGCATTTTCTATTTTTATAACTCCGGTCCCGCCCTGGTTGGGTGTCATAATTAGGTAGTTTGGGAGGGATGTGAGTGTGACTATAAGACCTTGCAAAGGAAAAATTGTAAGGACAAAAATCCCTCCTTGATTCCCGACTCCTGCGGCTTCCCTCCCCCCCCCCCCCCTTCAGCTCGTGCAAGGGGTAGAGGACGAATTCCTTGGGGCACTGCTCCACGGGCCACTGGTTTTCATACGATGTATGTATAGGCTGTATCAGCCAGCAGCGGTTCCGCGCTAGTATGCCTTGCGAGGACGCGCCGTCGCATGCGACTTACCCTAGGGCGTAGCGGAGTTCGCACGCGTGACCGTCGCAAGTTGCCGCAGGTGCGACGTCGCACAAGCGATGCTGGTTGGTACAGCCTATTGTACAGTAATAGAGCAAAGGAACCAGCGGTCCTCGAGACGGTGCCTAATCGAGGTATTCGTTCCGCTACCCCAAGCAAGGTACACTACATAACAAATACTTACCTTTGATAGCTTCGCTCTGAATAACCGCATGTAGCTCACAGCGAAATGGGAGAAAGCTCTACTGTATACGTGGAAATGTGTAAGTGGTCTGATAGAGGTTGAGGTTCATTTTCATTCCAAAGCGCGATGAAAGGAAAAATCATGGAAGTCGTTCAGCAACTCGCAGCAGAAAATTATCCAAGAGATGCGCTGTGGTCGAAGACGTTTATGAGCAAAGTTTCAGCTCAATCGGTTCAAGCACAGAGAAGTCTAGACGGACAGAACGTACTACCTGATGAACATATCTACTCGAAATCTTGAGTCCTATCTACCTACAGGCCCCGTAAAAGCCAATTGCCCATGCGTCGCTTTGAACACCAACGCGCGGCGCGGCTGGAAACGTTTGGTCCCGAAGCGCTACAGGCTATTTGCAAGCGACAATGAGCGCGCACCCTTTCCACACATATTTTTTTAAAGTTTTGAAGGGAGCTTTCGTCAAGATATATCTTGCATTGGCGAGAACAACATGAAAACTAAAGAAAGGTTTCTTGGAATATAGTGAACGCCGACAGTCGTTCGCGACGACCGCTCGCTTACGCTGGTGTTCAGGCTCCCGCCAGAGTGCCGAAGTTATGCCAGCGCTACGCCAGCATTTCGATCGATACACGTGTATTTCGTTGGGGCGGGGCTAGCTCAGCAGGTAGAAGTCCCCAACGAAATGCACGTGTATCGATCGAAATGCTGGCGTAGCGCTGGCATAACTTCGGCACTCTGGCGGGAGCCTCAAGGCACGGCGCGGGCAATTAGGTTTTACGGCGCCTATACATTTAAATCAGGTGCTCCATAGAAACGATATGTATCGACATTTCGGGGCTAGAAAATCATCACTTCTGTCGTGGTAGTAAGTAGCAAAGCCGGGTATCCAGCTAGTTCTATAATAGAAGTAAAAGTACTGAACATTCATAAAATTTCTCGTAAAATGGCGTTCCAATGTGCTCAGCTTACGAAGATGTCGATAATAAATGAAGTCATCTGAGCTCGACTTTTTTAGCCGAATTGTATGGGCTCTTTTACGCACCCAATGACCATTGGCTAGGAGTTCTGTTTTCAATCTTTCTATTGATTGAAACACATTCTCGAAGTACACTCTTTTTGAAGACCTTTTTGAGGTGCGACAGATCAAGATTGAAGATCTCTTGGTGTGTACTAGGCTGTACCTGCCACTTTCTTCCACTGGATTTACATTATTTGCTACAGACACCGTTTTCGTGTAGTCCATAGGCCCTTTCAAAGTGCTGAAATGCTCCTCTATTTCTTGTTTATCGACAGAAAGCTACTCAGTTTTATGGTAGATCTTGTGCATCCGCTCTTCTGTTTGACTTATAAGGGTGCAAGTTTCGCGTGGAGAACCATGTTCTAGCTCAACACAAACAATCTCCTAAGGTTGGTATAAAAAGTGAAATTTGTGAGTAGCAATATTGCGAACGCATTGATAGATTCACTATCAGAATATCTCAAACTAGAGTAATTCGCAATGTCAGACTTGAAGTACACCTGTGAGTTGTTATGGTCCGAAGTAGTAGTCTTTTGGCTAGAGCTTCATCTAGATGTGTCCCAACATGCAGTAGAATCCGTACCCTTTACAGCTTTTCTTTTGCTGAGATCACCTGTATTCTTAACTTTTATATGGTAGAAAATCTTTTGTATTTTCACGTCATTAGGCACATGTAATTCGAGGGGGAGGGTCGTGGAAACAGAGCGCTAGGCGGACTTCTCTAGTTCCCCAACTATAGTGTGCAAAAAGATCTCTCTGCTTGCTCTGAAGAATTCTGTATCAGTCATTACATTGAATGCTAGTCCACATCGGATTATACCGTCGGATAAACAGACCACGATTCACGCAGGGATCAAGATGTATGGTCCTAATATGAAGCTAAGACTATTGTTTATATGTGCGAAAGCTCGGTGTCCACTGCTAGTGCATGTCTTGTAACAATCGAATTGCTCTCTGAGCGTTCACTTGACCACATTTATAAATGCACAGCTGTTGATTGCTACTAGCCGAGTGGACCGGAGTCGTTCCCTGTTCTGATTAGTCGATGTGATTCATTTACGCACTGTCTCAGTGCGACGCAACGTCAATCCTGTTAAGTTCTGTCGGAACATTGAAAATCGAATGACCTGTAAAGCCACAAGAAAGATTCTCATCCTTTTCGATTCCATCATAAGTTTTCAACTTCTTTTCATCCTGTGGTCGCCTTCATTTTAATATTTGCAGTGAAAATTTTGCAGTGATTGTTCATGTTTGCCACATGCTCTTCAGGGTATGAGCAAATTTTTTCGTTACACAATTGATTTAATTTGATCTGATGCTCAGCCAGAAATGGGCGAAGACCATTATGTCAATAAACTCTTGCGAGCTTTTTTTTTTCAATAGCTCGTATGATCGTACAAATGTGAGCATTCTAAACTGAAACCACCCAAGCAGGAAAAATGTATTGATGTTCAAAATGCTTACCGAAACGAGAACTGATCTTAAATGATATCTTCAGACGTCAGTAGCGGTTCACTACCTGGAGTTTTTCCTAACTAAAATACAGGGTGTCCCAAAAGGCAGTACACACTTTTTAATCGTTAATGACTCTCTTCCCACGAAGTCTTTTGCCTGGCTTGAAGCGCATTCAATGGAGCTGGAGCCCGTTCGAAAAAAGTTTAAAAAAATCTGGAAATTTGTTTATCAGTACTTTCAGACATGTTGATTTCATTGGACAACTTTTTATGAGTTTTTGAAGCTTTTCGAATGAAATCACATTTTTAAAAAACATGGAGAAAACGTCATTGGGGTTCCCTGGCATTACTTATTTTAGCAAAGTCTTACGATGAAATGCGAAGTACATAGTCCGTTAACAACTCAGTTTAGCCTAATGATAAAGTTTTGAACTTTTGGAGTCTCCATTTTGAGGCAAAATGTAGCCACTGATGGCTCAAAATCCTTTTCAAAGTTCCTACCATAGTCCTACAGTAATGAAGAGCGATGGATGATGATGGGTGATTAAGCGATGGATGATTCGCTCCATAGTGAAGTCCAAGTTGAAGCCTGCTCAACTGAATGCGCTTCAAGCCAAGCAAAAGACTTCGTGGGAAGAGAGTCCTATAGATCGAAAAATGTGTACTTACTCTTGTGACATCCTGTAAATTAGCACTAATATTACTTTACTGTTTTTGATT